TTGAGGAGCATATACTAATGGTATATCATCCCATACCTCAGTATGGTTCTACATAGCATGGTACATGGTCATACTGAGAAGTCACCCGACAGGTATGGGATGTGAAAAACAAATCACCAACGACCAAGAGGCTCTCAGAATCTCCGAGAGGTTCTTTTCTCCTATTTCGGTGTGCTGTTTGTTTTTTCCGGAGGGCTCACTCGTTGTTGTCAGGGCCATCTTGGACGTGGTGTAAACAAAAGAAACGTTCCCAACTTGACCCGGTCGAGTGGTCGAAGAACCCTTTTGAGCGACCAACCGTGGCCTTCAGGGGCGTGTAGACCGCAGCATAGGTCGCCTCATGTAGACCGCACCGCATTTGGAGGAATTGGTCTCATTCGTCTCATTAGGATGAGTGTAGGTGCTCTCTGGAGGATTCGTCCAACAACTCTCCAACAATTGAAAACCATGGGTCCTGGTTGTTTGGGTATGTCGTGCTTCAACTTCAGTCGTCTTTCCTCTTCAAGCAGCATACGATGTATCTGCCCAGGAAGAACCCATACCCCGCGCCAACGCACTGGTTTCACACACCAAAACCGCTGATGAGGCACCATTGAGAGCAGTCCATATGGGTCACCATGACAGCAACCGATGAGGCAACCCAAAAAAATGAAAACGATTTCCCACATGCAGGAGTGGCTAGTTACACATGATTTCTTTTGGATTCTTCTTTCAGGCGATAGAAAAGTTACGCAGCATTCCTGCCTCACTTCACCGGGACAAACGACTGATCAAAAAGCATGGGCGGCGCTGAAGCCCCCACGATTCTCCCACGACCAGATCTAGAATTGGCGGTCCAATGTTCAACGACACGGTCAACAAAGAGGCGTCCGACACCGACGTCCTGTGCACGAAGAGGCGTACGGCACACGGACGTGGCACGAACGGCGTCACGTGCCAAGCCATTTGAGACCTGAGCTGAAAGCCCCAAGAGCGAAACCGGAAGCCCAGTCGTTCGTTTCGCCGCCCCTTGGCGGCGGGCCCTACCCATTCTCCACTCGCTGGATGGGACTTCAAACCACTCCGGAACCGCTGGCGTTTTTGCGGGGGATATGAGTGATGCTTGACCCATCGCCCCAAGACGATGTGGTTGCTCACATGGCAATTTCCCTCCTGGAATCCACCCCTGTGGGTCACATCAGTGCCGAAGCCACCATGGTCAACGTGGCCACAGCGGCTGTGGGTGGGGTGGTGCCGACCTAGGTGGGCTGCGAACACGGTGGAACCGTGCACTGACTTTGAGGTTTCTGGAGTAGGGAAACCCAATCCAAAGCAACATGTGGAACCTCACTCAGGGATCAAGCTACAAGTGCTTATCTATATTGTTGACAGTCTGAGTGTGTGGCGGAGTTACCCCTGAGTTACGAAGAGGACGTTTTTGTTCGACCTCACAGATCCCAATGAAAAGCCTTGGTCTGCAAATTTACCTCATTCTTGGCCAATCCACTGCCAACCCACCACGGGCGGATCTATGTCTATATGTTCTCCTCTCGTTCAATCCGTTTCGGGTCAAATCCTGGAGGTCTTCACTTCTTCTGTCCCACGCCCATCTGCATGCCAAGTGGCCGCTAGGACACCCAAGCCCACGAGCCCAGATCCAGTGGCGAAGCCTTGGAAGACCAACGGATGGCCAAGCAAAACGGACTATGCGGCCCTTCAGCGACTCAATTGGGTGTGTATTAAAATATAGGATATCTAGCAAGACCTCGGAGACCTCCCAATTCGACCCGGAAGAAGAAAACAAGCCAGTCTACCCATTGGTTGGGTGTAATTGATCCGAATAAAACTCTTCACCGAATTCTTCACCGTGGCCGATCGCACGATCCGCATCCGATCCGAAATGCGATCCGACATTCGCAAGGCCGGCGGCGTCCCGTTCAGCCGAAGGGAGAAACGTGAAAAGGACGCCAGGTCACCAGAACGACACCCCAAATGGGCGAAGGCGATTGACATCAACCTTTCTGTTGGCTAGATCCTCTTCGTGGCAACATGCATGATCGGTGTACGGCATGCGGTCGTACCCAAAAAATCACTTGCAATGGGCAGCGGTGACAAGAAGCTCTATACATTTCGCCGCAGATCGCAGTTGCTCACATCACATCATGTAAACAGCTGATGAATCAAACCCCTCAATGCCTAAAGATCCATTTCTGGAGAGGAGGGGAGTCGTTCATCAGTAGTCGACACATGCTTGCCATGTATATAGTGGTGAGCCACAGCTCTAAGGCATCAGGGCCAATCGAGCCACAAAAAATGCAGTGGAAATGGGGGGGTTTCTGTAGAAACAAAAAAAACACGGTCCACTTCCATGGGCGTTGATTCCTTGAAAGACGGCCACAGATCAACTCCTACAAGTCCCTCCGACTGAGCTCTCCCGCCAGCAGCCTCCGTGAGGCTCAATTGCCCAGACCTGGAGCCATCGGCGACGTGGGTGACATCCACCCAGGGATGAGAATCAATCGCCAAGCTGCGGTAGTGGCCGCATCGCTGTGCGTTTCATGCGGGCATCGCGCTGCACCTGGCAGGTCAAAAGCTGACCCAACAGGTGCTGAGAAGGCGAGGGACTGGCAGAAACCCAGGGAAAAGAGTTTCTGAAAGACAGAATGTGTTTCTGTTGACATGGGAGATTGATGGAAGTGTATTTGTTGGTAGGTGGTTTACTATTCGTCTTTGGCACTTCTTGCAGCCTTTGTCGTTGCCAGTAGTCTGTACATGCATCTCCTTCATCACCCTGCACAAGGAGGTAGTCCGGCCCCTCTCAAGGCCAATGCCCATACCACCGATCATCTGTTGACATCTCATGCGTTGCTACTGAATACAGATTATATCTTATTGTAATTGTAATAGATACTGTACCTATTTGCATATTAGTAAAAACAGGTGTCCAAAACCATCAAATCCAATGGCCATGTGTATTTCTATGGTGTACTTATACCACAACCCAAAAGGGCAAACATCATATGGCACCATCTGGATATGAAATGCATCAATGCATTGATGGACATTGTTTGCCGCACTACCTTGGATCCATAGGATTGCTTTGCCTGGCAGGAGATCCTGCAGTATGCTGAAAACGCACGTTAGATACCTCAGAGAATGACAACATGTTCAAAGCTTCCTGTTGGTGAGAACTTCTTTTTTGGCCGTACCTTCGGCCACAGAAAACAAAATCCTTGGGAGCTCACCCTTCCACTGCCGCTCGCGCTCCGCGCTGCCTCGATCATTTGATTCATGGTCTGTGCCGATGAAGAGGTCAAGAAGGTCCCTGTGAACCTCAGTTCCGTGTGGGATCCTCGAAGCACTCGGCCCTCGGCGCCTGACCGGGCCTGGGGCCTCAAAGTATGTCTGGCTGTTTGGGCCTCACTTGAGCAGGGATTTTTTAATAGATGTGGTGGTGTTATCATCCTTGGGTGCCTGCGTAGAACCCTACGGTTTGGCTACGTTTCCACAGTGAAAGCCTACGACAGACATGGCTTATTCCACATCGCCTACGGGAAATCTACGAACGTGAGGTTTTGGAGCGTTACTGTTCCAATTTGCCTACGGTACCATGCAGTTCTTGCGAGTGGAAACGTTTACGCAGCAGCTGACCCTTTGTCTTTCAGATGATGAGCTCGGCACTCTACAATGGGCAAGTTGGTTTCATTGGCTATGTGCTTCACAACGGAAGACTGACAAGCAAGCAACGACTTCACGCTCATCAAAGGGGAGCCTAAGCTAAATAGGACTGGGGAGACTTAAAGGATCTCTCAAAGTCTGGGAGCTGCTCGGGTATAATTCAATTCATTTCGATGGTCTCTGGGGATGTGGCTGCTCCAAAATAGAGGCAAATGTTTATGCACTGAGACTGGACACATAAATCAGGCATTGAATGTTGGATCTGGATGAACAACCACTCCCATGCACCGATATCGTGGAAAGTGGCCCTCTTGACCACCCCTGACTCACCCTACCCATCAAATCTCTTCTTACAAATAGGTTCTTCTCCCGGCCCCGAAACACTCGCCCCCACCCGGTCACTGTGGACCCCCACAGCGCTGCGGCCACGGTGGGATCCACCAAGCCAGGCAGCGCCAGGAAGTACCCCGGCATGGCCTTGGAGTCGCCGTGCGGAGTCGCAGCTCGGCACGTGCCGCACGCAAATGCCGCGCTGGTCCCGTGCGGCCCGGTGCGGCCCGGGTGCCCGTTCCTAAAACGTGCCGTTCTATACGTCGAAAGGTCCGTTCCTGGTCCGTTTCGGTTCGAGACGTTTCAAGTGATCGCGGATGGCCAGACCTCCTCGACCACCAAAAAGGTCGGTCGGTCCACTTGCATGGCGGAAGGAACCAAGTTTGGGGACGGAAGAGGTGAAAGTTGGGTGTAAGTGGGGCTTTGATGGAAGTTGGATGGTCGGTTTGATGGATGAAGATGGTCTTCATGAACTGGAAGTTGGAAGTTAAGAACTGGAAGATGTTTGCCGCAATCTTGATGAAATGTCTGGCTGTGACACTGGATGGACCCGGATGTGGAACACCCTCCCACAGTCTTCTGGTCGGAACATGTTCAGGAGCTCCAACTAACACCAAGTCGAAAGAAAACGCTACACTCACAGAAACAAACAATAAATTTGCACCCTGCATTTGTAGAGAAAAGTAGGCTTCCAAGCAATCACATTCTACTGCGATGTTTCCTGGAGAGGGGCCCAAGCCCTTGAGATTTCCTTGTCGGAGAGAGAGAGAGAGAGAGACAAAAGAAGAGAAAAAAAACAAAAGCAGAAGCAGAAGCTAAAGGATGAGAAAATAAACAAACAATAAAACTGCAAGGTTGATGTAGCAAGTTCATGCTTTTTGCAGAAGAAAGAAGAGAAAAAGAAGAGAGAAGAACTCAGAAAGGGCAAGCAAACTGGGTAATGGGGTGCCAGTTCATGAAACTGCTTGCTCTCCCAGATTCACAGAATCCAATCAGCACCTGGTTCACGACTTTCTGGCATGCACTGTGCAAAATTCGATCGGGTCTGTCGCTGTGCACAACCCAACCTCAAAACATGATTTCATGTTGAGGTTGAGCTCGTGTAGTTGACTTGAACAAACCTGTGTGGAACGATGCCAAGCAATACTGGCATCAACTGGAAGCGAAAACTGCAAAGGCTATTTTCGTAAAGCCAATGCGCAACTCGAACAAACATGGCTGTTTCACAGCGCCTCTGTTCACGTCTGTGCCTGACTTCTTGCTTCTCCCTCTGGAACTTTATCAGGTCCATGATCATTGGCCCAGCACTTAGACTGTGATGGCATCCAGAGTAATGTGCTGATTGACATCGTAGGAATGTTCAGCTGGTACTGGATCGGAATCCCGGATCGCCTGTAGAATCAGCTGGTTTGTATGAGAAGCGTTGTCATTCTCGCCTCCCACATGAACCATCAGCGTCTTCATATACCTCAGAAAAGCTGCACATCTTGGGTGAAAGCTGTCTCACAATGACATGACTAGGGAGAGATGGTCCAAAACTTCACCAAGAACAAGCTTGACTCCTGCTGTCGAACTAATTCAAACTAGACTTGTTCATGGTCAACTGCCGTTTGACATGTACACGTCGTCCCAGGAAGTTCGAGTAGTTGCAATTCTTATAGGTATTGGGCGGCTGCTCAGAATGGCCAGGTCAAAATGAAAGCAGCGTAAGTGCTTTAGTTCTTTGCAGTCCGTCCACATGCGTGAAAGCTGCGAAGATCCTCAAAAGTCAGCCTCCAACAAAAGAGACAAATGAGCTACAACACGTCTCCAATTAAAACGCTCTTCCTGTTTTTCTCCGGATCCAAACCACCCAAACAGCACGAAACATGTCGAAACACTACCCCTCCCACTCACACCCACAACAAATAAGGTCCCAATGAGGCCTACTAGTTCGGGAAGGCAGTGTGAGGGGTGCTTTGCGCCTCAAGTTTCACGCACTACCCACACACATGTCCCAGTCCCATGCCAAGGTGCTCCTGTACCACATTCCCAACCTTGCAATTGATGCTCAAGGACCATAACAAAATTAAGCTACACTGGATTCTCGAATGAGGGGATGTCCACCAAGGAAGAAAAAAAAAATACATCGTGAAATCGTCAAATGATGTAAAATATATCTATACATGTTTTGTACATGTTTTGCAAAACTCTAGCTACTCAGCTACTCTATACTGGATACATATCTCTATACACCTGTATATGTGTTGCAAAACTCGAGTTTCCAGCCACACAACTCATCCAACTTCACCCCTCCCACGTCAACTTCTCCAGCGACCCAGTTCAGCATGAACTGCTCGATCTTGTGATCCACCTCTCGGAAGCCGATCGTGGCTTTGATCAAGGCCTTCACGTTCTCCTCGTCTTCCTCGACAGAACTCACACGTCGTGCCGGGAGGCAGCTGATTTTGCTAGGGAAGAAGATGGAAGAAGCCTCAGACTTCTGTGAAAAGCACCCTTCCACGTCCCAAAACAAACGATCTCCATCTAGCTCGCCTTCGAGAAGGCCGTCGCATGCCGAGACTGGAACTTGCACAAGGACTGTGTCACGTGGCCTCGAAGCAGGCCCGCTACGGCGAGAGCGCATGGCGAGGCGTTCAGAACATGGCGAAGTCCCTTTGTGAAGGTCAAGAGCTATGCAAGATTGGTCTTTCGATTGGTCTGTGGGAAGGTACGATCCTTAGGTAGCCCACCCACTTCCATCTTGCTTTTTCGAGGTCTGGATCGGCGACGCATGGAAACACGGAAGGTTGAATGTGGCGAAGGGATTGGCAGAACCCACCGGTGCCGGTAGAAGGTGGGTGAAGGGAAAATGGGACATGCCGACATGCCTGCACTAAATGGGAATCCTCGTTCCACTGATATGTCATATATATATATATGTGGAGGGTTGGGTATATTGGAGTATCAATATCTCGGATGATAATGCAGTTCCTTCAGCAGTTGTGTTTGCGGTTATCCTCGAAAACAAACCAATTCAATCAAACAGCTTGTGCATTTGAGTTGTCCCACGAAAGGGATTTAGTCCCTTTCATGCTTCATGTCCCAAACACTCCGTTGGACTGGAATATTGATCGAGCTATGTTCCCATCCCCTGGTCTGCTCGGTCGTCCCAGACAGGTCGGTCGTGTCTGGGTATGACTTTGATCGAGTCACGGATACCATCTTCGCCTTCTCTGATCTGTTCGATTAAGCTTTGATTCTTCCCACGAGGAAGAACCATCGTGACGGTGATGTTGCCTGGACCACAAAGCACGGCCTGTTGTGGGCCAGCATCGCTTCTTAAAGCAGCCCTACTTCTTAAAGAGCGATGTGTTTGGCCTCAAACTCTTCTAATTGTTTAATAGACCATACGAGTCCAACAGCCAAGAGCGGTGAAGATGGAGACCAAAGTGCCCGCCCAGCCTAGCTTGATGGCTGTGAACTGCTCGAAAATTGTCCAGATCCGCGTGAGATACGTTGGATCGTACCAATCATCTAAGATAGCCACCATCCGACCAATGCGCGTCAAGGTATCTTCAAAGACGTGCTCCAGGTTCGAACTACCCACACCATCCTTCTCAAAGAGGATCCGGTACCTTAAGAGGAGACAAAGCGCTTGAGGCACTAAGCAGTGGATGTGTCGAAAAGATTGACTCAACCCGAGTCAACTAAAGGGGCCCATTGCCAACGACAATGGAGGCGTTCATACAAAAAAAATCAATCTATGTGTATATACTGTAATATATATATATATGGTACCACCACTCCAATACACACCCAAAGTGTGTTCTATATATGCTGTATAAATAGATAGATAGATAGATAGATAGACAGATACCCAAAACCGGTTATATAGGTGGCGGGTGCCTCTGTTGATAGGAAGATCAGAACTCTTCATTTTGAGAGAGACGAGGCCATGGACCTGGGTCCAGTCTCTTGATGGTTGAGACCAGTTTAGGGCCTATGGGTGGTGCCCTGCACAACAGGCTGGTCTGGAGAAATTAAAACTGACATTCATCAGGATCCATTAGAAACAAACAGCCGGACATGCACAGGAGCATCAAACATCCATGCAGTACTTCATGCAGAGCTTCCAATCGAGTGCTCAACTCCCCAACTGCATAAATCCCTCAGTCTCACCTCCAAAAAGAACAACAGATTCACCACGAGTGCAAAGGGTCAGAAAGAATCTGCCAAACTATGATGAGGGAAAAAAAACGAGGCTATCAAGGCTTGCTACGTGCTGGGCACTGGCTGCTTCCATTGAGAAGACCGAGTCTCCAGCGGCACTTAAACAATAAAAAGTATATTCAATCAATACATCATACGGTGGGTGCTACCCGAAAAAAAGAAACATGGAAACCTATTTATGAGAACCACGCAATGTTGGAATGCATATCCGAAACAAATCAAGGTCACAGCTCCCACACTGAACAGTTCGAGCTTTTTCTTCGCCCAGCCAGGTCTCTCCAGGAGCTTCCTCCCGACCCGTCGCCCAAGGCGCTGATTGTTCACAAAGAAGCACATGTACAAGAAGACCCCATCCGACCTGAAATGACACGAACCGAGGGAAGCTGCCGACCCCCTCCTTCGCCGGCTGCCGGCTTAGCTGCTCTGAGAGTGATTTCGATCAATAAATCGATGCTTGCTAGGTATGCAAAGAAAAGGAAAAGGGCTTTCACATAGTCCCTGTGGGGGGGGACGACAAAAAAGGCCAAGGGGACTGAGGGGCGACAATGGTGACCATTCTTGCGGTCCATCAGATTCAAAAACACTCAGAGTTGAGAAAATGACCAAGCTCTGCATACCTTAAATCTCATCCCCAGCACTCAGACAGAAAAGGAAGCGTTCATGTTTTGGGAGAGTCTTCCGTTCGAACCCTGTCTGACCTCATACCTCTTCCTGTCTGATCTCCTTACGACTCTCCTTTCTCCCACCGGTCAGAGGCCCCTTTTCTCAGTGGCGGGGATTGCAATGCACCCCGGTGCCAATCAAGAATGGGCCAAAAAGGGTTTGCCGAAATCGCTGTTCGGGTTTAGCGGAAGAATCCCTTTCGGTCGGACCTGACGTTCTGGGCCGGACTGGAGACGGACCGGCGAACGGCGAACGACCAAGGTCTCGCGACCTCGGTCTCGTCTGATGACCGGCGACGCGGCTCCGGTAGGGCAGATGAGCTGTTTCGTCTGATGTCCGGTGATGAACCAGTAGAACTCTTTCAAACAAAAGTATATTAGAAGTAGACTCAAAAGAACCACCAACTACTGATTTCAGCTCAGAGGGTCTTAAAGAAACTTTGGAGGTGTCACCGTGTCATGGCGGTTTCTTTTGTTTCGGCACATCCGAGCTGAAGGGGAGATCCTAATATCACCCACCGAAAAACAGCTCCTCCCCAAAAATAGATCCGAAGCTTCACAAATCTCGGCCAGGAAACTCCAGGCACATCTCTTGCAACCAGCATGACAGCGCATCTTGCACCAAGTGTATGGTATATTTCCAGGTCCACGACAAATAGTGGGTGCATGGCCTGCGCTGCATGGGAGGTCGTGACACGATGGGAAGCAGGTCGTGACCCAGATGTGGAGACAGGTCGGCACGCCAGCGGAGTGCCGACCTAGTCTCCCTATAATGATGGACACACCCACATCCAATTGGTGCACTGGCTGGTGGTATGTGTGTTTGTTGCATTTGCAAATCTTTTGCGAATCGGTCGATTGCGTTCATCTTGGTGTCGATGCTACCGGGAAAGGACGTTCAACAAAATCATCAAACTCCCACAAGTCCCACAAGCAAAGCTCAAGAAGCATCCGTTTCAAACAGCTCAACTGGGGGCCTACCTCCCTGTCTGATCGTTTCTGTCTTCGCCTGTCTTCGCCTTCGTCTGCGACGCTCCGTTCGCTTCGTCTCGACACTCCGTTCGCTTCGTTCAGTGACTTGGCTCGGCTCTCCTCGGGAACCCACCGGCGCTCTCCCTTCCCCGGTCGGACCCCCTGGGGACCCCCATCCGGTCGCCGTGTCCACCCGTGCCGTCCTGCGGTAGGGTCTAGCCAAGGTGTCCACCAATGCACAGCCCAGGCGTCCGTCCCGCGGGCACTGGATGTTCTTTCCAATGGGATCGTCACCGTAGAAGAAGGCATCCTTCAGGACGTAGAAGCTCGGATTCTCCTCCGGCAGTGGGGTGGGGGGGTGGTTTGAAAAGTCAGCCTTGCTATTAGTTAGTTAAACTTCTGAATCTATGTAGGAACCAAATGAATAGTGCCAGCGCTTCTTCAAGGAAGCTTCCCCCGCCTCCTTTAGGGCGGCGGGGGGAGCTTCCTTGAAGAAGCGTGAGCTATCCTGCGTCCTAGGTAGTAGCTACTTAAGCTACTAGCCACCTCTTCTACGAGCTACCTAGCCTCCACTCGAGGCCTACCCGCTTCTTCTGCCCCGCTTCCAACGAGGAAACCCTTGTGGCTCGCTGGGCTTGTATGAGGGAACGAAGGTGAGCGGCCTTGTCAAGGGACTGAAACAAGGTCAATTGCAGGCGTCAACGTGGCAGAGTCCCTTCAAAATGAAGAGAACCATAGTCGCACCACCTCCAAAAAGAGACCCTGTGATCACCGGCCCTCTGCGGCCATGTGGGAAGTTGATACGCTGAAAACTTCCGGCAGGTGCAAGATCGATGAATATAAAATCCCCTACGGGCAAAAACGAAAAACCTACATCTGCTCCATCTGCAAACCAAGCTCATGAGTTGTGGGATTTGTAGGATTCTCTTGATGCGAACTCTGGGGATAAAGTACACTCCACAAGCAAGCAAACACTGAACACTTCGGGGTTGTGGGTAGGAATGCAGTCCCATGAACAGATTCCCACGAGCCACCGCCTTTAGAGGGGAGGGATACGGATTGTTGATTGTCAAAAGGACATGCCCAACTTCCATCAACATCGGGAAAACCCTTTTCAGTCCGTCTTGCTGCGTGCACAGGCCAAGTTCTTGAAGGCACTTGAGAGTAAGTAGCTGATGCTCACTCCGGCTTCCTCGCAGCTGATTGCTGATGTCCCCTAAAAAGCCCTCCAACTGCAAAGTCATTTCCTCCCAATCATTTAGGTCGTTGTAATTGGAGCAGAATTTATTCTGGTGCCATGTATCTATCATAGACTGAAACTCACTTGAAAGCTTGATGCAAGAGCTTGACGGACCTTCGCAATCTGGGGTCCCATATGGAATTCTGCACCATCTCGCAGACGGAAGCAGGTTCCAGAATGTGCTGATGCAGAAGGTGTGTTGAGGGTCGTGGTTACGCTACATTTAGATGTGTGTACATATATATATATATATACATAGCATGTATATGTTTAAAAAATTATACCATGCAGCATAGACCCTAAACAGTTTCCGAATGATTCGTTGGGACCAATATTGGTCAAAAACGCTTTCTTGGTATATGCCCTACCTAGCAAATTGCTTTATCCATGATTTTTGTCGGCATCGACATCGCTAATTGTTCGGCCACAAGAGAAGACAAGAGAAGACGTGACAAGAGGAGGACAAGACCGGGTCACAGAGCCCGGCCACAGAGTTCACGGGCGCGGCCAGTCAGTGTGGCCAGTTCTTTTTCTAAGATAGAACCCCAACAGTAAACTGTTGGGGGAATAAATAAATAGAGTAACAATAAGAATAATAATGTTTATATTATATACAGTATATATATATTTTTTTTATATTCTCAAAAAGTTCCTTCCGTCTCCTCTACGGCTATCCCGTCAGAAACTGCAAACCTCAAGTTCACAAAACGGTTTCGTCTGTGAAAAGAGTTGCACCTTCAGTGGGACGTGTTTCTGACATAAAAGACCACAAGGGCGATGGTCTCACTATGGACTCCATACAGGTTTAGTATGGTTGCGAGGTCCAACCATGCTGCCCACCCGCACCAAACGCCGAAAGGGAAAAACACTCAAAGACTTGCAACACCCAAAACGCTGCAAGATATCCGGAGACGCAGACGGGTCTGTTCGATCGATCCGGCGAAATGGCACGTGATCGGTTCCTTCAACCGCCCCGCACCGGTGTCCTGACTTTGGCGCTTTAGCATATTGTTCGTCAACTCCTCGAAGTCGGACTCTGTCCAGCCATGCTTCGTCAACCTTGAAATCGAGCGACAACGCTTCCAGACGCAAAAATCCGAATGAAACAACTGCTAGTGCCGAAGGGACCCAAAGCGATCCTGCTTTCTTGATTTTGGTTGGGGAGAACTGGTGTGATTCCTTTTTGAACCGGAAACTCTTGTCTGCTTGTTTCAACAAGCATCGTCAACCATGTTCTGCGCGCCGGGCCACTCCTGACGCGCCTCATGCTCCATCTGCTGGTCGGCCTCCCAGCAAGATTGCGCCAGTTTCTCCACTAACGCCTGGCGCAAAGCTGCTTTGGTGCGGCCGTGACCCGGACGTTGTTGGTGCGGTCGAGGGGAAGCCCTGCTCCTAGGCACTTGGGAGGCAATGACCAACTGACCTTGAGACCTTTTGGAGGCGTTCTTGGATCTGATTGGCCACACGTAGAATCAAGCTTCTCGCTTGCACTGAGGACTCGACACCAACCTCATGGGTGATCGTAGACCTTTCCTCTGCTAGAAGTGTATGAGATGTATGAGTATGTTTTAGTGATGTCTTAGTCTTCAGAAATGTTGCGATGGACAAAGCCCAAGCAAACATGGAAATCATGTCGGATCCCCAGTTGTGGGTGGGTCTGCTTTTCAACTTGAAATCTGCTCACAATGAGGTGATCTGCCGACAGACATTGGGACTACCGGGTTTGTCCCCGATTTCGTCAGACTCCCAAGGTGTCATTGGAACTCACCATGGAGACCAGCCTTCAAGATTCCCACATGTCACTGAGGATCACTGAAAGCTTCACCATGCCTTGGTGAGCTCTTATCTTTATGGATGCGCAAATCCTGGTGAGTCACCACACGGCTTTGATTTGGATGAGAATGAATATGAAGACTCCAACCCCGGATTTGGGCCATCGGTCACGATTCCGCCATGTATTCCAGGGGGAAAGCTCTGTTTGGATCGCCATGTGGGCAAACCGGCAAACCATTGTTCACCTGTTCGGATTGCAAAAGGAACACACTGTGCCACCCTGTGCTTGTCCATTGCCTCCCTTTTGCCATCAAATTGATGATTGATTTAAATTCAAAGAAAGTGTGTCGTGCAACTTGGTCGCTATGGAAACATGTTGCATGGTTCCATTGTAAGCTAATTAAAGTCAAAGTTAAAAAATATCAAACGCGTGTTTAATATCGCTGTGGGACCTTCTCGAGCCGTCGAATTCGTTCATTTTCGCACAGGCTGAGCCATCGGTCGTCCGCACCATAGAACGATACACAATACCGATACCGGAGGTGTCGAGTGGTTGGAGAAAGTGAGCTCTTCGCGTCCTCCCCACACAACCCACCCAGCACCACTTCAAGTGCCTCGATGGTTCGCGGCCGGACGGCGCCTCTTCGTTCAGGAGCATCTTGCGCTTCACCTGCTTATGTCTCGCTGAGCGCATCCAAAAGATCCTGGACGCCACGATGATCATCACCCAGAGCGCCAGCGCCGCCAGGGTGGAAGACCTGACTGTCCGTCGCCCAACCGATGAGAAAAAAAGGGGAGAAGCGTTTCCGGTCTCGTTCGTCCCAAAGATCAAAGATCTGGGTGTATATTTGAAAGGGCATTCGGGTACTCGGTTTGGACCAAAAAGCCAAATGTATGGGGGAGGGCAGGACTGCCAAAGCAAGCTTCCAAGCAGTACCTCAAAGAAACATCCTGTATGAAAACACCGGCAGAGACTTCATCCTCTGGATGCGGGTCAAGACTCCGTACGCCCGCATCCAAGCTCAAGGAATGCATTGGGTTGTCACCAGTAACAGTGGATGATGGTGGTTAGTAGTAAGTAGTGTAGTAATGGCCTTTCTCTAAGAGTGTGATCATTGTTTACCGACCGTTACAGGCAATAGACCCATCTTCGCTGAGCGGCAAGCCCATGAAAACGCCCAGACCCGCCATGATCCACAGGAGCAGGGTGCCCACGGCGAGCGCCAAGGGGACGAGGAGCCACGTCACAATCCTTAGAGGACGGTCGTCAGGTTGGTCGGCGTCAGCATGTGTTGGTCTGCATGAGAAATTCCATACACTCCAATGTATGCGAAGCACAGAAAGCCATCCCAAAACCACGTGATGGATCACCCCCTGAAGCTGGACCAAAACTCATGGTCTCATCATGCTTCGTCCTCTTTTCAGGCATAGTCGGTTGCACGTACCCTCAGACATACCCAATAAAATAAAACAAGAACCATCTACTGGGGGGGAGAATCATGTTTCATGTGTTTGGGCGTAGTCTGTTGACCCACAACCAAATTTTGGACTTCCTTAAACGCAAGCTGTCCGTCTGAGAGCACCACAAGAAACCTAGCTTGGTTTGATCACCTCACACCTGGCGCATTCTCACCAGCCTGTGTTTCTTGTGGTGGCCACGGGGTTTTATGAAACTCGAATTGGTGATCAGGGAAAATCGACAGGACACCCCATCATTCGTTTAGGGTGAAAACCATGGGGGTTCCTGTAGATGTTCCCTTTCAACCAATTTTTGGAGAACGCCTCAGTCAAGGGCCTCTGGCCTCGGTCGACTACGCCCGAATCCGGAATGCTTGGTCGATCGGGCCATTGAAACCGGCCATGGCTCCAATCGCATCTGGCGGTTGCGGAGGATGTCTGTTTTTGCGGAGATCACCCTCCGGGTTTGAGGTCTTTTTTATCCAGTGAAGTTCTTTTTAGATGCACCAACATCGGTGGCCAGGGGATCGTCTAATTATAGAGACATGGAGGAGCCGAGCCGAACATATTGTCGCGCAGCTGGTCATCATGTGTGTGTGTGTATTTTGTCAACTGGCTACACTCTCGGTTAAAACATCAATGGAAGGTGCAAACTTTCTCCACCAGCTTCCAACTTACTTTTTCTCCCCTGGCCCTGGCTCAATGAACAAGAATATGCAGGGAAGGTATTCCCAAGGAGAGAAGTAGGCTTTCCTTTCCTTTCAACAACATGTCAAAACAAACCTTTGTTCCAAGGATCGGTACGCGGCACATGGTGATGTGAAGTAACTCCCAGCCGAGTCCGAAGCACACCTCGGCTACGACCGGTCCCCGACCGATGACCAGACCGACCGGGAAGGTCAACCCCACAAGTCGGCTCAGTCGGTGCACGCCCGGACCGGGAAGAAACAAACACCGGCCGTTTGACCGTCAGCTGGTCACCCCAGAGTTCACAATCGAGGAAACTCTCAAACAGCTGGGCCAGGCATCATTGACGTAGCCATGCAGGTCTCTGAGACTCTTAGGCAAGGTACCATGCAAGGAACATCCTTCCGTCATGCTTTTGGGCTATGAAGTCCCATTCCATCAGTTGATGTCAAAGATAAGGCTACGTAACTTTGAGTTGTAAGGAAACGGATGGGGTGAGGATAACTGAAGGACCCAGACGCACTGTGTCGAAAACATCCCCAAGAACGAAGGAGCCAAGTCTCAACTGGACATCTTCCATGGAAATGTCATCAACGAGGGCGGGCTTAGGGGATGGATCCCAGCTTATCGATAGACATGGGAACTTGCAACGGAAAGGCAATGCCATCAAACATCTTAGCCGTACATCTCATCTTTCCCCTCTCCAAATGTATTTGGGATTATTTGGGTGCAGACAAGTTTTAGGACGAGCATGTTTCAACGTTCGATCAACAGATTCAAGGGCAACCATTCCTCTCTGTTTTAGATGTTCCATCAATTCACTCTATCCTAACTTAGCCCGGCCAGTTGCGTAGCCGCCGATCTTGGTGAACTCCTTGATCTTCTTGATCTCAGCACTTTTTTCCTGAGCGAAGGCCAAGCCGCCCCGGAAATGGTCCTGGTCAGTTCCAAAAGGTAAAACAGAAAAAGCAAGCAAACAACAGGTTGTGGTAGCCATCCTACATCCAAGTTTATGCATTACCCGGTTTACCCATCTCGGCCCACGTGGAGAAGAGTCATGTCGGACCGACCACCGGACCGAGCCGGTTCTCGACGGACCGAGCGCCCGGAAGCAACAAAAACATGTGAAAACGACCAAGTCACCGGCTCATCACCTTGGAAAAACGGAGGAAGGACCAGACTGCACGGAGGAACACAAGGATGATTCCGAACTCCCGTGTGGCCGACGTGGGGCAGGGCCCGCGGTAGCGATCGGGTGGGAATTTTCAGGGGAGGGCCATGGTGGCCCATCTGGCCCATGCGACCGGGCCGGAAATTCCGGGCCAGACTCGCGTTTCTTTACGCTCGCAAGCTTGATGGACAAAGATGACACCAACGCACAGGAGTATGGTCGGCAAACCGTGTATGTCTGGGTAGATTGGATGCTGCGCGGTTTCATCTATGAATTCCAGTCTGGTCCACACCCTGCAACAGATGACACTGATGATCTTTCATGAGGTCCTCCAGTGGCCCTGGTGATCTGCGTTCTCAACCAAGGCTGGGTGACACACCCACAAAAGACACAAGTCGTTCAGTCCAAAAACAACATGAACAAAGACCGAAGTACACGTGTGAAACCTGTGAGAAAAAAATAGAGAGCAAACGTGTGAAACGATGGATGAAGCGAGTCGTACGCCCCCGTCAGACGGGCTGCTCCCCTTGCTGGCTCGTTGGCTCTGGTGAGAACACTTTTGGCCTATTGGGACACCACCGTTCAACCAGACCCCAACCGAACATCCATGTCCGGTGTTTGGCATCGAACATCCATGTTCCCGGATGTCATAGAGCATGGATGTCATATGTCAGAGCGTCGTGCAAAAATAACTGAAAGACTTTTGCATAACTGCCAGAGTGAGAATCTTCAGTGCCTTCTGTAACAAGGACGCTACGAACAGAACAAAGGCCATCGCTACGAACGGAGCAACGAAGCTACTAGTAGCTCCTGGCCTTACTACCAGCAACAAGGACGCATGCTAGGGGCAGTGCCTTCTCAGTTTTCCACGTCGAGTTGGGGAAACCCCAACTCGTCTAAGGTCTCGGTGAGCTTACCGAGCCCATCACCGAGTCACCTCGCGATTTGGTCCGACGTCGTCCATTTCGTTTTAGCCCAAGTCACAGACGATCTGAATAGAGTCTTCATGAAAGACTTTGAACTGCAGGACCCTCTCGGGTTGATCCAGTGTCACATGCCCCGAGTTCCGGATCCAGGCTTCGATCTGGCTCTTCCGGTTGGCACTCACCTCAGCCCCCGGATCTGGCTCTTCCAGGTCTCGAACCGGTTCCGGGGGGGAACCGACCATGGCCACGAACTCGTGGGCCGTCTGTGGGCTGCAGTGCCAACGCGGGGGCCAATTCTACAAGACAGACAGCCTAAATCTTGGGTGATCAAAAGCAGATCAGGCTCATGAGGAGAAAAATCTGGGCGCGAAGATCGGCGCGTCGTCGGCACTCCCCGCACTTCACCAGCTTATTGGACCAGACCAGCTTTGGACCTGGAATCCGTCTCGTTCCTCACCTGTCGCCCTGCAATCCGTATGTGAGGATGTTTGTCACGCAAGGCAACCGGTCTACGAACCACGGGTTTTTTGTTACCTTCTTACATGAACAGTTGAGCCTCGTTTCAAAGAGGGAGGAAAAGTAACAAACACAATGCAGACCAAATTTCTCAAAATCCAAAAACACTTCGGTGGTTTTTCCGTCTACTTTTTAAGCCCCCGCATATCTGACGTCAGCACGTGCCCGGATCCCATGCCCAAGTCACATGGATACCATGTTTGTTGCAGAGATGAAGTACAAGACCCCCTTCATTCTCGTGGGTGGCCTGGCTGTGAAAACCGCAAAACGCTGCCCGTGACAACGCGAAGCCCCCCTGGAGGTCTTTGGAGTCTCGAGAGCGTTGCTCGGTTTTGTTGGGCGAACTGCAAGAGACGTAGCATCCCTGCCTTGAGTAGGTAGAAGCGGCGTTGTAGTTTCAAACCCAAAGGTAGGACCATCAAGGCCAGCCACAAGTGGAAGCTGGCAGCGTAGAGCAAATAGTTCAGATTCAACTGGCGCAGCGAACGGGGGAGACGATTTGCCCCCAACAGCCGTGGACAATGGCTTTATGAAAGCTCCTCCCCCTACAAATAGACGGCTTTCCCGTTTTCCCACTTCCATGTTTGTTGGAGGGAGGGTAAATTGCACCCTGCAGTTTTGGGGCTATCAAGAGTAATCGAACGAGGTTCTATCTTTGTGGGGACATCTACCCACACCACTCTGGTCCAAATGCATGCTGAAGTTGAGGACAGAAACGGAGGGTGTAAGCAATTGAAGCGACTGTTTGCCACCGTGGTTTGCGCTTCACCTTCGGAACCGTGCAGGAACCAACCTGCTGCTTCGACCCGACCCATGGTTCGGTCAGCCTTGCAATCACTCCGGTCGTCCGTGGAGTACTCGTACTCCTCGCACTCCTTGCAGGAGAAGTTGGTACCCTGAGCCTCCATGGCGAACAATCTCGTGCCAGCGGGACAGAGTTCGCACGTGCCCTCAGTTGCAAAGCACATGGCTGAAGGAGAAAAAGTCTCCAAAACGCCACAAGGTCCTACGAGTTGATTCTCGATGTGCTTGGTTCTTGGTGGTCGGTCGATGCAACTTGACTCGAAGACGTAATCCTCGCTCCTCATGGTGTTGCCATAGTAAGACATATTGTCTCGTGACTCACTTGCCAAAATTGTCGTAAGAGCATCCCCTAACTCCTCAACCCGGTGGGTATGCTAGATATGTGGGGGTTGATTCATGATGATTCATTTGTGCACGATCAAACATGATCAAGTCTGGTTTTTCTCCACGTACGTCAGACAGCCGGGTGGGATTCGCCAAAACCCGACCTTCCATGTTTCTTTCTCCACCTTGTTCTTCGTTGCTTTGCCATGAACACCTTTTTCATGTTTTGAAACAAATCTACTGTGCATAGGTTGGCAAAACCATGTCACTTGGGTCTCTTTCGGATGACTTTGTATAAATATAAATTCCACTCATGAAAACCCATCTAAGGAAGTCTCGCTCAACTCCTGCCGCCCTGTGGACAACTGGCAGCGGCCAAGCATCTTCATCCGGGTTCCACACTTCTCCAGCGCCGCAGCGGAAGCGGATAATGGACAAATCCTGAGTACAGCGAGGTCTTGTTCTCGTGTTCTCGAAGTCAGAGAAAACAAGTCTGAGATGATGAAAAACATCCATAGAATCCGTCACCACAGAGGATCATATTCTCCACCTCCATTGTAGTAATACTATGGGGTATCCTAAGGTGACGATCACTCTCTCATATGACACAAATTAAGTACAATGATGTCCAGAAAAGGATTCACCATCGGAAGGTTGCATGGTCGGTCTTGACCTCTTTTGAACATGTTGAGCGACCACACCAAGGGTCTTGGAAGCAGGTATCGTTTGAGACAGCGAACCTGTTGAAGTCAAGATCATCCGAGATCTGGGCCTGTCAAAGGTACCCTTTTCAAAGGCCCCTGGTAGAGGAAAAGATCAGCTGAAACTCAATTGCTGCTTCTTCATCTGGCAGACACCCCCCATCCCCAGCCCATCTCATCCTTCAACCTCCATGCTGCAATATCCACCGTGGCAATGCCCCAGAAATAGCGTTCCCCGTTCCGTGTTGTCTGGCGTGGAAGGTTGGGTGGCAAGCCGTGCGGCTTCTCCATGTGCTCCGGAGCACTGAAGGAGGGCACCGGGCTCTCACGCGTGAAGGGGACCGAAAACGTCACCATTCGGATATTTCCAGCACCTGCGGCACCGTCCCCCCGCCGTCCGCAGGTTTCACCGGGTTGAGCGAACGGTTCGAGCGAACGAGCATGGCGTCCGAACTCGCGGAGGGAGGCGTCGAGGACGAGGACGGTCGTTGCGGAGGGGGGTCGAAAGAAGATGAGGGTCGAAAGCAGAAGGCAAACAGAAGAAGCAGAAGAAGCAGTTTGCTTATGTTTGCTTCCTTTGCTTATGTTTGCATGTCTTTGTCTCCCAAGTTCCAGTGGTTTCTTCCGCAAACGATGGTTTCTTCTCTGCGGCGTAAGCTACCAGTTTGATAGGGTCCTGGAAAAGTAGCACCATGCGGCCCTCCACAAAATGGAAGCCAGTCTTTCGCCGCAGAGAAATGCATTCCTCCAAAACGCTCAAAATGTGATGCCCATAATCCACGAAGCTGACGTGGTGGCAATGATAAAAAAAGACATGTATGAACTGTTCTATTTGATCGTTCCTTGCTGTTGTGGCTGTTGTTGTGACTTTTGTTGCAGTAGTAAAAGAAAATGACACTGGTGCAAATGATCACTTTAGCACCAGTTGCGATAAGACATCAGAACATAGGACATAGGGGTAGTTTTGTCAAACACATCGTGGTCGGGGCTAAAAGTGGATTGACAATTAGGTTGACAAAGTGGACAGAAGAACAATGGTGTGCTTGCGAAATCCATCAGTACGAGGATGATATTGTGTTGAGAACTCAGGAGATTGAAGAATCAGTAGCGATCGTGATGCGTTGCAGAATGTGCACAACATTGCGGAACTACCAATCAGACTTGTACCTTCCTGCTTTCTTGCGCAGGCCAAATGCACTCCTCATATTATGTAAACCCACACATATATATAAGAGGACTGGAAAGAACCGCCCTTCCATCGAAATAGCGCGCCTTCATCGAAGTAAGGCGATCCCCAAATCCCTTCCAGAAAGGGAAGCTCTCCAGTCAAGTACTTTGTCCGCGCTGCATGATACCACTCCACATCCGGCGCATAGTAGTTGTAACCATTGGACAAGTCCATCTTGATGTTCCCGCGCGCCACATAGGGCGCATAGAGGACTCGGTGCTCGCCCGGCCAGACCTCATGCGTCGGGAGCGTCCAAGGATCCGAGGCATTGGTCCACACGCTGCCGTTCGCGTTGCCCGAGGGCACGCCCCAGCGGAGGTCCCAGGCGTCCGGCTTCACGGAGCCGTTCGAGCCATTGCGCCAGGGGTAACTGTCCGGCTCGAATGCAATACACGAACCGAAGACCGCCTGCGGCAAGTTTTGTGGAATACGAATGTCCGAATCGGGGGAAGATGATGGAATATGGAGTAATTACAGGAGTTCTATAAGGGTTCATTGTTCAGAACCTCCCAAATTTCAAAAAAAGAAGTCTTCAATTGGGCGACAAGACCACCGACTGCGCCTGGGACTGCCTCAAATTGAGTCGGAGCATGGACAGCAAGTGGGCGGGAGTGATATCTTCCTGGCATCGCGAGCTGGGCCAATGGCATCCACTAGCCATCGGGGTTGGGGAACTCTCTGTAGTTCCTTGGCTGCCCAAGGGAAACATGCCTTTCGGCTCCTCAGCTCAAGAGAGCAATAGCTGTTTTCCATGGGCTTCACGGAGTCAATCACCCCGGCACTCCAGTCAATCCCCCAAGTCAAACCACCAGTCCTTGATCACACTCAGTGTCTGCGCCATAGATCGCGCGATCTGCGCCTGTCCCGATCCAGGCAGCTGTGGTGCAACTCCCATGTGGCCAGTTGGTGGTGCAGCAACTGTGTCAATCAGTGATGTCCATCCCTGGGGAATAGAGGGGTCGATATCAGGGTCTCATATGCCGAACTTGCTTCTTCACGAGTATATATAGGAGCTACGTATCTCCTCTCTTCAACCAACCAATCCAACGGCTCTCTCGACGCCCGCTACACCCAAACGGCTTGGCCCCGATGTTCCAAACGGCTTCTACAAGGTCCTGATCTGTTGAGCATCACCCGCACGTCTCAAGAGTTGGAAGACATTGCCGCTGCGCGACTCGGCTGAGACGAGCGGTCACCAGATGATTCGGCAGATTGCTCCGAAGAAAGGGATGTGCGGTTTGCAACCACCAGGTGTATGGCTTAGTTGCACATTCCAGGTGAAATGAGTGGCCAGTGGCTGCTTCGCTGAAGCCACAGAAGAACATCGACTGCAGTGGGCTCTCTCCGACTGCAGTACTGCGTGAGAGTTCCACACGGTTCTGGAAACATCCGGAAAAGGCACAGAACGCAGGCGCAGGACTAGTAGCCTCCGATCGCTCCGTTCGTAGTGATGCCCAAAACGTTACTAGTAGCTGCAGTTATCTGCAGCTTTTTGTTACTAGTAGTAATGCCAGGAGCGCCCCGTTCGGAGCGTCCTTGCTCCTAGAAAGCGCACGTGCAACATAGATTTAGATCCACAATTCTGAGCGACCTAGAACGTCTCACCATGTTTTCGCCCGACACCATTTGTGAATTCCAAGGGAACCAACCAATGGAGACATAGATTGAACCGGTGGCTTTTGACCAGCACGACAGTCATGGGTCGCCACATGACAGTCATGGGACGGCATTTCGAGGTGTTCCATGAGTATCTTCACTCTTGTTCGTGAGATCTTGCAGGCTCCAAACCCCTTGCTCCAGTGACTTGGCAGCTTCAACTGAGAACGCAACAGACTAGTGGGGATGCGCCCAGCGCTTTAGACGGCTTTAGGCCCCAGGCAATCTATTCAACCCATCGCCATAGTCACACAAAGCAGCATACTGCCACAATATAGCTTTCAGGCCGTTCATGTTCGTGTGCATCCAACTTGGGAATACCAAACAAACCGCCCCAACGTTCACCACTGGGAGATGTACGTGCTTGTCCACCCACCCACCAACCCACCAGCCCACCAACAAAAAAGGAAAAAAAAACACTGACGACGCACCTCATCGTTGAAGAGGGACATGTCAGGCGTTCCCTCGATATCCAGGTATTGGGCCTCCAGCTTCCGCGGTGCCACTGCCCGCGACGACTTGGTCTCTGCGGACCTCGGCAGAGCTGCGCGGATCTGGTGATCCATGTCTGCGGCTCTGAAGGATGTTCGGTCTCCCAAGCAACATGAAGCGATGTCATGACCCAGGGCCAAGCTGAAGCAGTAGAGTTGGGCCAAACATGAATGGAAACGAACGATGGGAGTCGAGTAGTCGAGTCAACCATCGGGAGAAGATTGAGATCGAAGCATGTTTAACCAAACCTTGCCAGGGCTGGCTTAGAGGCCTCTCTCGCCTCAACGACTCAACGGCTGAAATCCAAGCATACTGGGCATCGCGCTAAGGCTCCCACAAGGGCAGCAAAAGGATCAGCCACCATCTTTGAGGAGCTAATCCTCGCTTTAAGTGCATCATACATCTCTGCCCGGTATGCTTCGCATACTGAAAATGGGCACACCTGGAGCCCAATGCCGAAAAGCAAGCTGTTCAGTTCGGCTACAACACCGGTACTCCGTCCTCCGTCGGTGCCTTTTTCACCTGTCCTCTCAACTGCTGTTCTCGTCCATGAAAACCGGTCTTTGTTCACTGGTGGCAGTGACTGGTCCCCCATTTCGATTCTGGGGTGATCATCCACAGAACAATCATGAAAGTCGAACCTGGTGTCATGGAAGATCATGTTCCTCTGCAAACTGGCTCTGTTCCACACCCTTGCTTCTTGTCAAACCATCTCAGCTGCCTACAAGATGTCAGCTTCCCCATCAGTTTGTCCACCTTTGGTGAAGCTGAATCTGATTGCTCTGGTTTTTCTGTCATCAAAGACGAGACGCAGGATCACCCCCCGAAACAATCACCCAACGGCTCAGTCCCTCTTTGTCATGGCGTGTCGGGTGGGCCCGTGCGACAGGCCATGGTTTCACTTCCTGATCAGGTGTCCGCCGGTTTCCGCCGGTTTCAGGTGTCCAGGCAGAGTTGGGGCTTTCAGATGGCGGAACACACACCACGCACACCACGCACACCACGCACCAATCCGTCTCCGTCCCTTCCGTCTTGCTCAGGATCCCCAGCCGAGAGAGAGACCCATAGGGTCAGCTTGCCCTACCGCGAGCGCAAGCTGGGCGTGGGACGTGGTGGGTCCGATGATGTCCCATCATGTCTGGTGTACCGACCTGTGGCCGGGTAGAATTCGTTGCTGAACCTTGATATTTGGCAGACCGATGGCCGATGGCTTGATATTTGGCGGCGCCACGGACCTGCCAGTCCCGAACAGCAGAGGTCTCTGGCAGGAACATACGGACATACACCTCAAAAACAGATGTCCATGAACCAGCTTGAAACACAAGCATGCTGGAGTAGATGGGGATGTTAAAAAACAACTCTCCCTTCCAACGATTTGTTGGGATTGTTTCCATCTACTTGATGACATCAATCGAACCATCCGGCATCATATCTACCTCAATCACTGTGGTCACCACCGGTTCAACTGTCTCTCCGGTCGAGACCGGTGATGAGACGGATCTCCACAGGGGCCACGCGCTCGAGAGCGCACGCGACCCGCCTTAGCGAGCTTCCAGTAGAGCTTCAGGGACTTCCGCGGCGTGCTCTCCCTCACAGGGGACAAGTTCAGACGGAAGACAGAAAGAAGGTCCAGGTAAAACATGTAAAGAAAGAAAAACAAAATCTCAATATCAATTCATATCAAATATCAGATGCACCGCCCTGCTGGTCCCTACCATTTACATCTTTCCCTGCTCGATGTCGACAACCTTTTCAGTGTCAGAGACCCACCTTGCCATCGCTGGGGCCTCGTGCCCGAACACGACGGTGGGACGAGAAGTGTTCGACGACTGTCTTGACCCGTTGGAGCCGCCGCCAACGGGACGAGTTCGTTTAATGGGGTTTTTTGGGGCCAAAAATCCAATGGCCTTTGAAACAAGGATGGCCTAAAATCCTGAAACCGTGGAGCAAGCTGGCGGACTTGGACTTCCCCTAAACAGGCTCAAATTTGCCATCTAAATCTAAACCCAACACAACTCAACAATACTCAAAACAAATTGATCTTTTAGGCCATTAGTCACTTAGTCTTCGCCTTGCTGCAGTTACATGTCATACTTTCATTCAATCGAGCCGCTTCGACCTCCCATGTTCCAACCCCGGTGTGTCGCGCAAAACAAAAACAAAAACTCTGCTCCCCGCATCACTTGGAGGCCATCGCTACTAGGGTGGTTGTTCTCACCTGCAGGACCTGCAGCTTTCAGAAAAAGCTCCGCTCCTTAAACCGCCGCGAGTCGCACGCCCACGCGCCTCGACGAGCTCATGGAGCTCACGTGACTCGCGCGAGTCGCGCGCCAAAGAGGAGACCGCGAGCCTCGCCCGGAACGACCACCTGGGAAGGTCGAAAACGGCGAAGGTTCAGACGCTGGGAGGCGGTGCCCGCTTCATGAACCAGCGGTTTTTTTGGTGTTTTTTTCTACTGGATTGGAATGGCCAAAGACGGGTCTGTTCAAAGGATGTTATTTGAAAGGCCACTTTGAAGAAGCTGGTGTCAGGTTCAGCTCTTTGCAAACGTCACTTTCCTGCGCTGACCCACCCGAGGTTTTCAGCTCATGCCATGCCCCGATGGGCCTGCACAACTGGACTTTCTCCTGTACCCTAAAGCACTTTTTCAGCAGCATGAGTTCTTGGATCGGAAACACTGAACGTGACCAGTGCATTTGAAAGGTGATGTGTGTATGTATATATATAATATATATATATATATAATACATATGCAGATTCGGGGGAATTTCCGCAGGGGTGACACTCACCCCGCGCAACCTGAAGATTTCATGGACAAACTATGAATTGAATGTACGTCCTGTCTCTTTAAGAAAAAAACCTCCGGCATACTGGAAACAGTGAAAACCGTTGGAGAGATTGGCCAGCTTTTGCTCTTCAAACTCCCTTTTCTCCCCAGTTTTGGAACACTCCCAGTTTTCTCTTCACCTCCCAAGGTTTGTGTTCTACTCTTCAGAGCTTTTAGAACACCATCTTCCAAACCTTCGACGGGGTTCCCTTCGACTCGAAGGAGTTCACGTCACGTCATTCGGGGCCCCGGCGCATGGACCTGGCCGCTGGACGACCTCCCGCGCACAGCGAAGCCTCGGAGTGGGCAGCCGTGGGCCCCCTAAAGGGGGGGGAAGTGACCTGAAGGCCGCAGAACTCCCTACCTTTAGGATTGGCAGCCAGTGAACTTGATGTGTTTCTTCATGTGTCAGGGTGCTCTGTCTGCGAAGTCGATTCGACGAGGGACCGCCATGACAAAGCCCTCCATGTCACCGGTAGCGCCCGTCGCTGAGACCCGCACGAGAAGCAAAGTGGCTGGCCCAGCGGGTGCACATTGGTGCACACCTTGCGACGGATGACCGAAAGATTTCAGAGACCGGCTGGATCAGGATCGTCCAGGATCTCACCAAAATGTGCTTTGACATGCCCTAAGCCTTTGAGGCCAATTGCAGAAGAACATTGAAGTCCTGATCCCTAAAGCAAAAAGCTGTCCCTCCTAAGCCCCTCCCTAAGCAAGGTCCTCTCCAAACTGTCCTATTCATCCTGTGAGGTTCCACCAAACTCTCAGGTACAGTATCTATATACTAAGAACTGGCTGAACGGACGACCGACGACGAAGAAACGCCGGCGTCCCGCGAGCGATGGGGGAAGCACCAGGGAGTTCAAGTTCCCGAGCCAATGACCGGCTTTTTCAGAGGACGAAAAGGAAAAAGGGACGGTGTTTTCACATACGGTTCATTGCGGTTCCTAGGTCATGTTCCCTGAGTCCTTCTGTCTTGATGGCTGAAAAAGTCGCGAGAACTGGCCGTGATTTGTGACACCTTTGAAGCTGAGGTCGCCCACAGAAGCCTTAAGCTGAGACAGTTTGGGGGGGGCTCCCCCCCCAATGCTCACTGGACCTCAGCACCACATGGGCTAGAGGAGTTCAATCGCAGTTTTGGCAGAAACTATGAAGATTGGCTAAGATTGGGCTCCATGTTTACATCACTAATATACCCAATACCACCACAAATTTCGCAATTTATCCACAGGTTTAGAGTCCAAAACAGACGGGCTCAAGGGATGCTCAAACAGTTCTGGTCGCGGCAACTCGCGTATCTTCCGTGTTTTCCGTTCACAACAAAAATCGATTACACTGAGTTTGCTGCCAGCATTTTCAGCAAAACGACCGTCCACCGGCAACTATGTTCGAGCCAACGAGGAGCCAAATGTAACGTCCAAAACAGGGCCAGCCAGGTGACGCAAAATGCTAAATGCAAGGCTTTTCTGGAGTCAGGTTCGGCTGCAGAATGGCTCTTCGCACCATCCGCGGGTAGGAGGATACTGGATTCAACTGTGAAGTGCCAAGCATGAAATAGGGACCGCGAATGGCTCCTCTTCGTCATGGGTTTTTCTCAGTTCAACTCATACTGGGTCTCCTTTGAGCGAAGGAAGCAGCTCACTTCGCACCTGCGTAACTACGAGGCCCCGGAAACGGATCCAGTGGGCGGAGACCGGCACAAGATCACCGTGACGACCGGCACAAGTGGTGCTTCCCATGTCACGTGTTGGATCTAAGCCAGAAAGTACGTCGACATGGTCACCGAACGGAGGCCCCTTGGCCCCTTAGGCGTGCACTTGTTGATTGGTGAAGCCAAACCGGCCCACCTGTCCTCTCAGGCACCATCAGCCCATGAGCCAAGGTTGACCCGTACACTAAGGACACAGCAGGGAGGGTGGGTGGGGAAGAAAACAGAAACCAGGAGAGCAAATTCAGAGGCCTCGGACCACAAGCAATCAAAAGCCTGACCGCCTGTGGCACTTGCAAGAATAGAATACACGTGACGGTTATCAGATCCTACTTGCTCGCAAGCGAACACAAGCAACTTGCACATGCTGATTGAAACCAACACAATCATTGAGGCACAAATTTTGAGGACCCCATGCTCCACTAAATGTGCTTCCTTTGCCGCCGCCTGCCCATCAGCACAAACCGCTCTTGCCAGCAAAAGGAATTACAGTAATGCTGCAATGCTTGTTTGCGAACCGCTGCTGCCTGCGGCGTGAAGAACTTTCACGGACGAACACCCTCAAGCAGCTCGGTCCCTTTTTGGATCTGCGAAGATGTGCCAATTGCCCGTGAGTTCTCCTGCCCACCATCCCTCTTGTGGCTCCAAGTCCTGTAGCTCATGGCCACAACCTAGGCAAAGACTCGAAGTGTTCTGGAACGGTCGACATGTTTCTGCCATCCTGTGGTGACCTTCTTTCTTAGAAGCCACGAACTGGTCTATGTGGCCATGCCCGCCACTCCTGCTCCACGTGGCGAGCCCGTGTCCCGGACACGCGTGGCTTTCACTCGCGTAAGACGGTGTCCAGCACGGACCCCACGTGTGGGTGTTTCCTGGTACGAGCTGTTTTTGAGGGGTCATGGAATATGAGGTACCCCTGCTTCTGAGGTACGAACCGGGATCGCACTTGAATAAACCTGCATTGCAGGTCAAGAAGACGATGTTACGGGGAGCATGCGAAACCCCAAAAAACAGGAGGTTTGCCCCTTTCTCTCATTTAGTCTTCTGGATGGATGCCCACGGTATTGCTTGGGGCTACTCGTGCAGTCTTCGGTCAGTGCGCTAACCTGAGGCTGAGTCCCTGTGACAGTGCTGGTCAGAAGCCAACACTGAACCCGGAAGTGCAGCCAAAGGAGCTCCTGTAGAGAGTGCCTGTCAGTTGGAACATGGATTGGAGAAAGTCCTTAAGGGGGTATGTAAAGGACAAAAGACCGGATCAGCCTGACAACTGCCTGCTTCTGTTGGAATACGTCGGGAGGCTTTTATGTGAGTTTGACTGCCGCTAAGTCCATTTCAGTGTCTTGCGTTTGGCGGCGGTTCATGCATCCATCATCCATCAGATTGCTATAGGCTGAATCAGACCAAAAAAGAAGCAAACCGACCGAAGCGAAAATCGCCCCCCCCAAAAAGGAATAGACTCCATCATAGATCGACTTTTAAAGCCCAGGAGTCGTCTGGAAATCTCCTTTCAGGTTGTTTAGGTTTAACTGTTCATCAAATCAAGAAGAACCTGTTCAAGACGAACTACCAAGACTCCTTTCCACAAATCCCCTGCAAATCTCCGGTCCGGCCGAGTGGCACAGCCCACTTGCTGGGTTGAAGTCCCAGCACCGACAGTCGCCGTTAATTCCTCGGGACACGGGCGACGACGTCGCATTCGCTCCGCAACAAGTCGCCGCTGGGGTGTCGGCCGGACGTCGAGGAGGTCGGCAGCAGTCGAAGATGACATTCCCGTTCCTGGGCGTTTTGGGACACGTTCGATGCGTAAAGAAAAGACCGGCAGTCACGTCTTCGACCAGGAGTACGTAACACTGGGAACTGCATGGAACTGCGAGAAAGTTCCTGTGAGTGGGGAGACAGAGTTGGAGTAACTAGGAACAGTGACCATTGGATGGAAGGCACTTGGATGTGCCACTTGAGGTTTTGACTTCAGTGGGTGACGAGTCATGAGTCATGAGGTGCAAATTGGGCGAACAATGTGAAGTCAGGGTTGAACAGTTTGGATCAACATCGAAACCTGAAAAAGCACTTTAGGACGTGTCAACCCTATAGACTTACACAAGAGGCCATGCCAGCCCCAACCGGCCCTCCGACCGTGAAACCACACAGGGCCCTCCGGCTGTGTCCAGAACGCAGCGACGTGTTTTCTACACCAATCTCACGGATCATCAGAATCCCCAACCACTGATGTGTGTGTGTGTGTTGGTGTGTGTGGGTGTGTCTATCTTCCCGAAATTCTCGCACGCCGGGCACGTCCAAAGGGTCCCAATAAATTTAGACAGTGAATGTTGCAACTTGTCGGTGGGTGTATCCTTGGACCATGTTGTTTTGACGGCTAAACCATTTGGACCCTAGCGAGTCTTTCTAGGATTAGCGACCGCGAAAGAACTAGAGTAGACTTGCTGGAGGCTTCAGGCACCTTTGCTTGACCCTCCAGATGTGTTTCTTACTATCCGTGAACCGCCCAGCCAAGCAAGTGCAAACTCAGCTCTTGTATTCTCAGTCGCGGGTTCGAACTTGCCTCAACGAACTTGGTAATAATGAGCCATCGCAAAGAACCCTGGGAGTGCCTACGGAATCAGTCTGTCCCTCCATGTTCATGTCCTCTCATCACATGCCAAGACACACACGCACAGTGATCTGGAATCACTGGTAGGCGAGTCCGCGGCAGGGGCTCTGCATTGGCCCAGTGAACATTGAAGTAGGTGCCGTTCCTTTCTGCCCAGAGACCAGCCCAATCATTCACAAGCTGCGACTACGAATTCGATTTCTACTGCACATCATAAGACTCAGGAGAAGCCTTTGCTTCGGTTCGGGCGGCCTACCACGGCGGGGCACGGTTCTGAGATAGATATATATATATATATACGTATATGTAAAAGGCAAAACAGTTCATAGCCAGAAAAGCTGCTCAAATCCGGTCAAAAGATGCCCAAAACTCTGGCCGTTGTCCGGAACTCACACTGTGATGCGTCTTTTGTTCCGAGGCTCCCTCGCCAAAGATCCCGTCCATCCAAAGGAGCGTCTTGGCAGCTTGGGCCTGGGACGCTGCGAGGTGTTGGACTTATGAACCGTTGAGGTGTAGTCGAAAAGGGACCAAGACACCTGCAAATATGGGGCCGTGCTTGTTCGACTTGACTTGATTGGATTCTTGGATTGTTCATGATTCACCCAAAACAGAGGTGAACCATGGATCTGCTCCCAGCACCAAGTTTGTGCTGATCAATTGGCAAAGTGAAAATCATCACAGTCACCTTCGGACTTCGCCTTTACACCCGCGCCAAGGTGGATCATGGACATCTGGAACCCACGATTCACTAAATCTTCCCAAGTAAGCAGCTGACTTGCAATACATCCTTCAACTGGAACGACTTCTGCCTCCTTGAGGGTGACATGCCAATCACCTCGTTTCTTGATGAGGACTGGCTTGTCCGCAAGCTATCCCCCCAACAAAACGGGGACTACTCGACTCAAAAACGGATAAATTAACTAGCGGCTCTCAAACATGTCGTAGCCGTTCGCGATCAGGAGATCGAAGATCTCAGAGCCTCAGTGAAGCGCCGAAAAAAGGGAAAAACGAAAAACGATGAAAAACGGCAAGTCTTCTGGATCTGAATGCTGCGGGTCGGACCAAATCGAAAACCCCCACTTCTGGTGGCTCAGGATGAGCCTTTGGGCACCACCCGAGCCAACACCCCCCCGGACGGACGTCCGAAGTGTCTCTTCGGCTCAGTCTTTGTGGACGTCCACGAGACAACTCGACTCACCTAACTAACCCTCCCCATGAGCGGACATCATATTGTCTACAGTAAAGCATTTCGGGGGGGTGGGAGGTTTTTTTGGGGGTGTTGCTGACCCATCCAGCCATGACACCACACAGAGTTGGACGAGCTTGCGACATGTTTTTCATGGTTGCGACATGTTTTTGCTGTGACAAACAATGACAGACTCTGCAGGTGAACCCTATGTCCCTTTTCAGATGTTGCTTCTTTCTCGCAACAGTTCACAGGGTTCTGCCTTGTCCTCATAATTAGGTGACTCTTGCTTTCGTTCGACCTCATGTTTGTCGCATGGATCGTCTCAGAAGGACCATGAGCATCGGTTCGTTGCTCAGATCGGGCAGAAGTAGATGAGCCTTGAGAGTGCGCCTTGCCCCACAACCTTCGCCCGGAAGGGACCCAGTTTGTGAAGAGCTTATTTTGATCCATCCTACAACGGGGGGGTTCTTTCAAGCACAAGGACCCATCTGGCCCAACGGTTTTGGTCTACTTTCTCTTCTAACCCATGGATGAGATGAGGCAGTTCCTATTTCAAACCTCAAAAATCCTCAGAAGTGTTGCCCAAGACCAACGTCGGTCGGTGGATGCCCTTTACACTCAGCAAAGAAGTATGACCAAAGCCACAGACCTCTGTCTTCTTCCGGCTTCTTCTTAGGCGACTTCTTCATCGCCTCCATCCGAGTGGCTGGAGCTGCCACGCTCGCGAAGCTCGTAAGGGTGGAGCTCCAGAAAGAGGTTTGGATGGAACTGCAAGGTCTGCTGAGCGCCTTTCGGTCGGCCACAACGACAGAAGCGCGAGTCACGCCGTGCGCGACAACAGCGGACCAACAGGGACATCGAGATGTCCAGCTCTAGTGAGTGGAGGGTAAACATGGGTGAACATCTATAGGATCTTCGCAGACTCAAACCGTCACGCGTCACGGTGTGGGTGGGCAGTCGAGCAGAATTGGCTGCTGCTTGCTGGTGCTGTCTACGGGCTGGTGTGAACCACAAACATCGGGTGGAGAACGAAATCCTCAAGGCAACTTGTTGAAAGACTCAGGTTTGCCCAATGCTGGGATGGTTTTGCTTCCATTTACATACCATGTGGTGCGTGTAGGTCAGTCAAAACCTGTGTCAGCACACAGTGAACACCCAAGGTCAGAAAGAGGATGGACTGGCAGTACGGGGGGGGGGCCGACACCTACATTCCAACATATTCCAACACTAGGGCACCCCTGGCCCAGCCGTTTGTTGTCTTTTCTCTTCGAGCAGGTATTGGTTGGTCTATGTTCTACCTATGTCTGTCTAGATGCCTCCATTCATGCAACCATCCTCCACTGAACGGAGCCAGGTAAAAGCTTCGCCTCGCCCAGCGACCCAGATCGACCCGCCGGTGGCTTCGCCTTTCAACACTTCCAGCTCGCTGCCCTCGACATCGATCTTGACCGCGCAGGGAGCCAAGCTCCGCGCCGCCAGGATCGTGTCCAACGACATCTGAGCGGAGCACGGGTCGTGTTGGATGATTTTCCATGTAGACTTCGTAAGAAAAAGATTTGCCTTACCCCTTGCAGCAGCTCAACGTACTGTAGTTGGTCAATACTGTTGAATGCAGAGATCCTGCACCACCTAAAATTGATAGTATCAACTAGTTACTGAAGAAAAAAAAACTGAAGCCCCGTGGCGAGCGATTTCATCGTGGAACTCCAAAAGTCTTGTGTCCACTCGTGTCCCACCACCGGGCGAAAAACGTCCGTCCCTGGCGTTCAGAACTGGTCCAACAAGCCCGATCGCATTCGTCCGCGACCTGTTGGGTGACGGCCCGAGGCGGCTGGTTGATCTAGTCAAGGGACCGTCGCAACCTTTGTGTCCTCTTCATCTCTCCTTGGAAAGCAAAAAGGGCACCAGGGTTGTTGAAGCGACTGAAGGTTCCTCCGCAGAAGTGGGTCGTCCGCTGAACCCCAAGTCTACAGCAATTCGGTTCAGATGTGCAACCGGCGTCCAACGTCTTGGCTCTTCAACCTCACAGAAATCAACACTTGACTGCGCCAAGAACCCGATACATGAGTGGCCGGCTCGGCTCTGCTCGTTGATCCGGTTGCGCCGCGGCGGCCATGTGATTCTCGGTGTTTGTTTGTAATTAGGTGTGAATAGATCTCATGAGAGTTCTCCCCGTACCCTTCCGATACCCTTGAGCTTGATGAGTTCATGGGGCAACCATTTCCCGTGACGGTGGCAAAATGGGCAGGCACACCAAAAAGAGAAAAGAGAGAGAGAAAAAGAGAGAGAGAGAGAGAGACAAGAAACGAGCTCAGAACAGGTCAAAAAGACTCCACCACCTTCGAGTTGATGCAAATAGGTCGAGCTCCTTCCACCTTCCACCTTCGTTCCGTCTCCCCACCGAACTCGCTCATCCGCTCCGCCGCTCCGAGCGGCTCGATCTCGCGCACGCGGCAGATCGCGCTGTGCCCCTCCGAGCAGTGCAGCGCGCCGCGCAGGCCGTCCGCGGCGGCGACCGCCACCTGGTTCCGTTCAGCCGGTTCCGCGGCCACCGCCCGTGTCCCGCGGGGTTCGAGTCAATCTCCAGAAAGAAGGTGGAAGAAGTGAAAAGCATCAAACACATGGTTTTACACATGCCAGAGAGACACGACATCTTGTGCAATTTTCTTCAGGGAAACGTGGGAAACTGGCAAAAAAGGACCGTGGATGTCTCCTCCGAACACTTTTCACACGTTACAAGCTTCGCTGCTTCGCTATTGTGGACAAAGAACTGTCCGAACACTAAGCAAAATTTAGCCATTTCCCTAACAATCTTTATAGTATAGGAACCAAATGATTAGTGCGAGCGCTTCTTCAAGGAAGCTCCCCCCTCAAACGGGGGAAGCTTCCTTGAAGAAACGTGAGCTATCCTGCGACAGTAGCTAGGAGCGTGTTTGGTGCCTAATTTCCTTGGGTAGATGGCTACTCAATTAAGGAGGCAGGGCCACGGGCTTAAAAAATCAAAGCTTTACCTCACTGGTTCAGAGTGAAAATCGGTCCGGCCTGCAAGACCTCCACAGATTTGAGACCTCACAACGAAACGGCAAAACCGAAGCGAACTCGAAGCGAACGGAGACGGGGAATTCTTTACGGAACGGGACGAAGATGGGAGGGCCCGGGGAGTGATTTCACTCTCCCAGCTTGGGGTCATCGAGTGATGAGAACAAGGATGGACAACTGCTGGTAGTACTACGATAGTACATTGATACTACAAAACTAGCCATCCAGCAATAGTGACAGGCCGGCGGCCGGAGTAACATGGAGTGCCTTGTGTCCAAGGCGTGTGAAAAAAGGCTCCACTTCGAGCCTTCGACCGACACATGTTTGGGGCCATGTCATGGCCAAGACATGGTAGGCATGTCATGCGAAGGTCAAGTTGAACAATCTTACACCTGAGTATAAACTACCAAGCACTTGTCCCACCCCTCCCAATGAAACAAACTAGTTCATGTTCGATTGAAGCGATCCCAACAACAGGGAGAAAGGACACTGGTGGCAACCACCACAAAGTGGAAACCCTCTGCAAGGCAACCTTTTGGCCCTTAGGAGATCATTCCAAGTTGACGACCTGAAACGAGCAGAAAAGGAATCATCCGACATCCAGAGGGAAAAGAATAACAAAACAGAAAGACAAAAAAACGCCTCCAACCTAGTAGCGATGGCCTCCAACCTAGTAGCCATGGCCTCCAACCTAACAAGCAGAAAAGGAATCATCCGACACCCTTCCCAAAAGCTCCTCACGGCCACCCACCCTGCCCACACACCCTGGAGCCAAACCCACGTCTCCCACCACGCCCTTCTGGACTGTACCACGTGACCGTTGCGTCGCACAGAGGCTTCCAGCAGCTTCGCCAAGATCGGCACCACCTGACCGTGACGACCGTTTGAGCGCCACTCTCCCACCACAAAAAACACATCCGGGCTGGGATCTTCATGTAACCCCATGCGCCACTGCAAAGCAGAGAATACAACCACTGGGTCTTTTCCGTCACCCAATGAGGGACTGAAGACAAGATCTCAGGGGGGGGCAAATCCCAAACTGCCAAACGTTCCTCAGGTTCAGCGCTCTCATCTGCTCCCCACCCATCAGCGAGAAAAAGCGTTCTGCTCCCCACCCAGCGAGCGCTGTTTCCCCCCCACCTCGATGGCCAAGACTTGGTGACCATCTTTACCCATCATCAGGGTGCAGCCGCCCAGATTCGCACCTCAGACACCTCCGCACCTGTTCGGACGGACCTGAACTGCCCAGTTCTACGCCGTCGTAGAGGTCGGTAGACCGGGAAAACACCCATCCAAAGTAACTTTAAATAAGTTTACCAACCTACCTACCATTGAAATATATTGAAATGCTAGATTCCTCCACAAAATGCTGAGACCATCCAAATGCTCGAAAAGCAAGCGTTTCTCCGGTGAAGCAAGCAGGCCCAGACCATTTCCTTTCAAAAACAAAGGAAATTCCAGCCAAGGTGTTGTTCAACATTTTCCAGGTGGCTTCTATAGATGCTGGGGTCAAAGAAAAAAGGTAGACATCCAAACCATTCCGAAATGAAAGCCTCTTTCCAATGATGCGGTTCGGCCCCCCCATTTCCAGCAGACCGCCATGAAATTCCTCCTACCAAACAGGTGGTAGTTTTCCACTTCCATGTGAATGACTCGGAGTCAGTCATCGACCATATTGAAATGGTGGAACGATTTGACTTGCATGAGCAGGCGCTTGCTGGGATTTTCAGGGAGTGTCTTGGGAGCATCGAGCTGTCTCGACACCCTCGAACTGACCCGAACTTTGTTGCTGGGAGTCTCCGATTCTCTAGTCGCGGGCGAAAGCGGCGTGCAGAACAAAGGGCATCGCTACTAGGAGCAAGGACGCTGCTAGGGGCTGCTGGCATCGCTACTAGGAACAAGAAGCTACTAGGAGCTCCGACCAAACTCACTGCTCCGACTGAACGATTTGCTTCAGGACCAGGGGCCCACATCGACGAAGGGGCAGCTTTGGGGCCTGGGATCTCGGCCGGTGCCGCGGTGCCAAGCGTGGAGCAAAGCGCCAGTGGTGAGTTGGACCTTGTAAAGAAAAGGATATGGGATTGCTAAGGGAGTGATCTTCCAGATACCATCCCCCCAAAAAAAAAGGAGATGTGGGATGCTTGGAACTCAACATTGACTGTCCCCCCCCGCAGTCCAGGACATGATGCTTGGAACTCAACTCCTACAGATCGGTTTGGGGTTTTGATTCTCCCTCATTCTCCTCAGCTGGTTCTGCGGTCTGAGCGCGTCACATCTTCCCGGAGATCAAAGGATCCAACTAGTGCATAGGGAGACAGCAACCATGATCATCTGAGGCTACGTCTGAGTTACACATCAATCAAGAAAGGCCACATCAGGCCATTGGCCCCGAGATTCTCTTCTGCTCGAGCTGGACCTCCAATGTCTTGAACATGGCTCTCCTGACCAAGATCACTGAAATTTGGCCAGCAAGGGATGTACAGGATCCTCTTTTGAATTGGATCATAGGCCTCTTTGTTGGGCTTTCATCATTATGGTGCTGGATTTGACATGCAAGCCCATTGAAGGACTTCATGGGTTGCAGCTGATACCTCTTCACATAAGCCTTCATGGGTTTGATCATTTCATGACGTGTGCATCCAAGCCATGACTCTGTAAGAAGCTCTTCCTTCCACAGAATGTGTTGTATGACCTCCGCCGCCGCGTCAGAACTGTTGAAAGCTTGCCACTGTCCTGGACATGCATAAGAGAAAAATGCGGCTCTCAGCTTCTCTTTCACATCCTGACTACGGTCTGAAGGATCCGGCAGCAGCTCCAACTTCCTCAAAGTATGCTTGTTGTGGAGTGTATTAGCAAAACAAAACAAAGCCTCGCGTTCATCAGCATTCAAATCATCATCAAGATATCCGAGCCTTTTCAGCACTTGCACAATCAACTGTTTCGAGTCTTTCAACATGAAAGGGCCGCCACCCAGGAAGATGGATCTGGCCTGGGGGGTTCCCCAAGTCCGCATGGTCGATTTGCTCTGCCGACGTCGTGGAAAGACCGGGAGCACAAAGGCCCATTCTCCGGAGTAAGGTACCCATTCTCGTCGAGGCTTCGCAGTCATGATGACCTCATGCACGGCAACTAGTGGCAGCTGTCCCGGGAACACTGTCAGTGTACCCAGGCTGTGTGAAAACCAGAATTTGGCACAAGCTGGCACAAGCGGTCCATGATCCTGGGCATATCCCAAATCTTCAAGGAAGCCATTCAGAATGTCCTCCTCACGGGTGTTCAATACGTCATTCACGGAGAATGTATCTTCAATGTCCACTGAGCCGCTTCCATCAGAATGAAGGAAAGCTCGGACTTGTGGGCCAGAGTCTCTGCTAGTTGTCTCCAACTTCACAACCCACAACCCTTGGCTAGTATACTTGCCAATTACACCTGGCATGCGTTTGGGAACAAAAATGATAAACCCAGTGGAGGTCGTGTCCTAGAGTTTGAGGATGGTTCCGACAAAACCTGCATCTGAGGTCAACAGCGCGATGCGATCTACAGCTCTGCTGGTGGAAAGAACCTGCATTGCTGCTGAAATGGCCTCATCGTTGGGTTCTGATGAGCGGTCTGAACGGCGGTCGGGACGCAACACTGGACGGAATGTGATGTTGGGCTCTCGCAGAAATCGAGCCCACTTCTTGTTTTCAGCTCTGCCAGGTGGACCGAAAAGCTTCGCTCGAACCTCCCCACCCTCACCTCTCAAACACATCAGAGCTTCTCGGATTTGTTCAATGCTGTGAGTATCTGCATCGACCAAAAGCACGGTCCTTACTGAACTTTGAGCTCTTCCGCACGCGGAGGGGAATTTGCAGAACTTGCACCCCACGATCTCAACCGATGTCCTTTTGCAAAACAGCGCGGCGCTGCTCTTTAGAGTGGCAAGCATGGCGTCTGAGGTCTTCCCAGACGTGCCCAGGAGCCATGCAAATCTCGGCGGCGAGACATGCTGCCTTCAGGCCGCCGAAGGCCTTTGGATCACCTTCTCACTTGATCGTGGGGGGGATTGTACTAACTGGAGTTGGTTGGCCCACTTACCGCTCTATGAAACCAATGGGTGTTGGTCCTCCCAGAAACCCTGACAGAAAAAGCTTTGAGTTCACTCCTTCCTGTGGTGAACCACAACTTATCCACTGATGGCTCTGGCCCTGCCTTCACCTATCTCCTTTCATACCAGTTCATTCCAGGACTAATTTTTACAAAGCACATATTGGGGGGGATCCTGGTGGTGCAGGAGACGCACTCCTCCATCAACAGTCTCTTGATCTAAGAAGCGCCTCGTTTTAGTTTCAGTCCACAAGGAACTATCTATGTCGCAGGTGCCCACCACCTGAGCATCAGGACCGTTCGCAAAAGCTACCAAATCACATCAACAAAGGTCTTCGTCACACAAGTACCTTTGGGATCCTTACCCAGCTTATGCCAGGAAACCATCTTTGATATCTCAAGACGGGAATTCGGGGAGAACCACTTCCAAGGAGCAACTATGGCTGCCATGTTGTTGAGGAACTCCCAGCAAAACAAAGCCAAATACAGTATATGGAGCGGCTCGACGGACTGGTGTGAATCGTCCAAGGGAACGGAAATTACCACGCGGAACCCTTTCCTGCACCACACGGTCAACTGGTGGACTGGAGCTCACGTCAAGCTCGCAGCTGGAAGATCAGCGCACTGAAAAGCTGTTGACAGATATGTTCCTTTCCAGGGTTTAGGGTCAGATGCTCAGAACCCCCGCCCCGAGGCCCTGCACGAATCGCTACGATCTAAACATACACCCATCCACACCGCCGTTTCCAGCTTCTTACAAAAAATATGGAGATTGGTCAGGGTCCAGGTCCCTGCTGAAACCGACGCCCAGTGGCAACTGCGAGCGCAGCTCGCGCATCGCGCGGACGATATGTCCACAGTCTGGGAAGGAACCCTTCATGCGCCAGCGCTCGTCGACCTACGGCTTCTGCGAGGGCTTCTGCGGCGGTTTGCAACGGACTTAGAAGATTAGAAGACCCCAAAACACCAATAATGTAACAAGAAACCTGCCAGCTGCTTCCTTCGGGGTCACCTGGCTGGAGGCAGCCTCCACTACTGAGAGCGGCGTCGTCAATTCGGCACCCAGCCAGAACCGCTGGCGGTCACCAACTCGTCTCGTTGGCTGTAACGACAGTGTCAGAAAACAACATCGGCCCTGTAGGCCCTACAGCGTCTGAATCGATCCCTTCAAGTTGAGACGGGGGAGAGAGAGAGAGAGAGAGCGCTGAAAAGGCTAGCGCGAGTCATTCTCTTGGCAATGGGCTCTTAGAGCTTGTGAGAGACGAGCTTTCTGACTCTCAAGTCGTTTGTTGTTGTTCTACAAACTTGTAAGATCTTGTAAGTTGTGCAGGTATCATCATCTGCCTTTATAACTACTGGAGCTGCCCTTTCTCTATGTAAGACATCTTGGGAATTCAGCGGATTGGTCATCAAAAACCGATGGATTCCAGATAGCCTCCTGGTCATAGAATTACACAAATAGGCACAAAGAACTTGGAATTGCACTATTTCAGTTGGGGGTCGCTTCTTGACTCAAGGAGAGGGCACCCTTTCTTTCGCAGGGAAAGCTCATCAAAAGTAGGCCACAACAGGGGAGAAACACACTTGGAGTTCTTCGGTTCAGCTTCATTCAGAGCTGCGACAGACCTGATCAACTCTCCATTCCAATCATAGAAAGAACTCACATAATTAGTTACGAAGTGCTGCCACATCTTTTGACAAGGTCAAATTGTGACATAACATGACATAACATAACCCAACGTTGAGACAACGTTTCGGCGCTCCCATCCCGCATCCATCCCAGGCACCACATCCGCCGTCCGGCGCACGCAGACCCACACGCTCTCGGGCTCAGCGAGGCTGGGGATCGCATAGGCATACCTCGCGGCATCGACTTCGGCATCGGACTTGACGGCATCGTGGGCATTGACAAGTCTGAATGTGTCTCAAGACACGACTTTGGGGAACTGCCTGTATGAGATAAGCAAATCATACCGAATCTGGGACACCTGCGCAAGTTCTCAAAGCCCTTGGAGCGCCGCTGCCCGAACTACTTGTGACACCGCAACACGCCGTGGTGATTGCAAAGAACAGACCTGGAATGCACACCAACAGGGAGTCCGGTGAAGCAAAAACTGTGGACTGGTACGTCCAAGAATACAGCATGAGAATGGGAATTGATTCAACTCCTACCGCATCAGGTTGCTGCTAGCTACGACGACTTAGCGTTGTTGCTGACGACCTCCATTGGAACAAACCTCAAGTACATTCCAACTCACAAACATTAAGTGGAAACCTTAGCTTCACACAAAAAACTATTTTTATGGATCATCAGAGATTTAAAACCCGTTTGCCGCGAACCCATGTGGTGTTCGTCAGAGAACACAAAACAGATGTTGCCCGGCTGCTAGGAGCACCTCTCATATGAGACTCACTGGGTGAAACAACGACCGACGCACCGCCTCTCGACCTCGCGACAAACTGCCTGGGTCGATGAAAGGGAGCTGTGGGGCTGTGGTCGATGAAGGGAAATATGCTGGGGACAGAACACTTGTTTCTGGACCCACGAAGTGTGATTGATGCTCCAACAAATTGACATGGAATTGCAAGGGCCCAACGGCCACTTGCGAGACCCTCTTCGCATTACATGTCACTTGGAGTCTGATCAACTTACCCTCTTACCTGTGGTTCGTGCAGGTTTCTTAATAACTGCTTCCATGAGGCCATGCAAGTGCATAGGTGTGTGAATCATATTCCAATGTCATCTGCCACGTTTCCACAATGTCCATCCGCCATATCTCAGCAGAGTCTGAATGTCGGACCAAACCGAGAAACTATGCCAGCTGGCAGTCCTTTCAGCAATAGGCCGACATCGTTTGTAGAATAATGTTATCTAAGTATATTCATTCAACTAAAAAATACCTTTCTGTATACACATATATAACTATAAAAATACAATGTGGAAATCAGTGTGTATATATATATATATCATATATGTACCTTGTTTTGCCTGTGGAGTGGCTGATGATGGCTAGCAAAGTCCTTTCTCAAACTAGCCTTCTCTCCGGCCACTTGTGGTGGCTCCCTGGCCCAGAACTGGCAGTTTTGTAGTACGGGAAGCAGGTTCTGCTGTGGCCTCAGAACTGGCAACTTTGTAGTACAAATGTAGTACGGGAAGCTGTCGCCTCAGAGCTGGTATATTTGGAGTACAATTGTAGTATGGGAAGCAGTTTCTGGGAGCTGTGGCGTCAGAGCTGGAAACTTTGTGGTGCAAATGTAGTGCGGGAAGCAGGGAGCTGGCCTCAGAACTGACAACTTCGTGAAGTACCGGCGCCTCATCCCCGGCCCACGGGTGGCCACGGAGACGTGCGCGGAGAAGGAGGTGATGTGTATGTGTCACACTCCGTTTGCAGGAGTTCTGCGTTCATGTTTCCCCGAATCCAACATGCAGGGGGCCAACGACCTGTCTTCCTACGTTGCCCAACGAAGCTATGGAAGACTGGTGGAAGAATTCAGGGACGCCTCAATCAAAAACTTGAAGAATGTGCAGATCTTTTGATCACTTCGCAAATTCTGCAAAAACAAATGTGGATTTCTCTCAACATCCCCGTATCCAAAACAGAAGTTACACAAATTGCTTTGCTTCGAGAAATCCCCACCCTGAGAAGCGATTTGGAAGAAGGCAGGTCATATGACACATCATCCAACGCAAAGGCTGGGACATGTTCTGGAATGTGTTCTGACGTCCCGTCTGTGTCCTGACATGCGTTGTGACGTATGGCCCGACTTCGGTTCCGATATGTGTCTGTTTGCCGCTGCTGTTGCTGCTAATGTTCTGTTCAACCCTGATCCCCAACAACTCCAACAACAACTCAAACATGTCCAAGGCTTGTTAGCAATGCCCCAATATAAAGCTCCTTAGCTCTCCCTAAGAAAAAAAATACAAAAAATTGGGATAGTTTGTTTGTGGACTGTTACTGGTAATGGGCTACACTCTATATGTATATTATATATATATATGTTGTTTCTACATAACACCTTTGCACACACACACACACACAAACACATGTTCAGTACTTCTCTATAATGTGCTTTCCTATATAATGGCAAATGGAAAGTCACAACCCAGGACAAACCCAAGTCACGGCGAAATTGGTCGCTTGAAACACCAACATCGTCCCACCTTCCCCTTCATCCCCGTCGGGCCAAAAAACCCAAAACCCTAAACATTGCAATGCTTAACCATCTTTCAACCGAGTCAACCGAGTTGCCCCGCCAGAAGCAGGTAGTTGAGTGTTCCCCAGGTTTGATTCCAGCCATAGGTAGAAATTGGAGCTTCTGGAATGTCATTCCTGCTGTAGTATGGACATTGTCGAAGTTCGATTGAGGCTTCGATAGCCGAGAGGCCTCTCGCACATATGCTTCTTGAAGACGATGCAGTACTGCAAGCAGGGGCCAGCCTGGTTGCCCAAAGCCAAAGATCTGCCACCTTTTGCTCTGAACACTTCACACAATCATACCAGCATAGACCCCAAACAGTTTCAAAACGATTCGTTGGGACCAATAGAACCCCAACATTAGACTGAGGCTGGAGAAACAGACCAAAAACCGACCTCGCCCGGACAGGTGACATCTCTAATTGTCCGAGCGAAGAAGACAAGCAACGACGAGCTGTCCGCGCCTGAAAAGAGGAGCCGGTGCCACGAGATGGACAGGAGCACGTCATCCAGCCTCAGCTCCGGAGCAGTCCGCGAGAGACGCCCGAGAGACGCTAGCTTTTGATGGATAGAGCAGGATAGAGCTAGAAAAAGATGTGCAAAGTGCTTCAATGCTTGCGAAATCTTCCACGCACCTATTGGAGCAACATCATCATGATTACTGTTGTCCAGTGACCAGTGGGTGATTTACAGTAAATGCTGTTCTGTGGATGTGGAGAGACTGCAGATCTGATGCTGTGGAGAGAACGGCTTGGACACCAGTATTCCAAAACTAGTTGACAGATGTTCTGCCGATCCCTCTTTCTCAAGTGGGCTTTGTATTTTAAGAGGGAAACCCTTCATTGACCTCCTCCAACACAATCTTTTGGGGGGATGGAAACAGCAAGCCCATCTCTGTTCCCATCAACTCTCAACCCCAAAATCGTCCACTGGAAACCCTGGCACCGTTCTTGTCATGGCCAAGAGGTCGCTCCGATCCAACCAGCACCGTTCACGGGCTCCTCGGCCGGTCCCAGCTCCTCTCCTTGGCAGCCTCGTGGCGAGCGAGCAAGCTTCCGGGATGCCTCCTGCCAGCCTGGGCCGTTCGGAGCTCGGTTCCGGACGGAGGACGGAGGACGGAGGACGGAGCTCGCTGCCACGAACAGAGCACGGAGCCTCAAAGTAATCTCACAGACACGCCTGGTGAGTTCTTGCAATATAGCTTATATATCGAATGAGTGCCAGCTGCTGAATTCTATGTGACTTCTGAACACCAAGTTTGTTGCAGCATGGTTGACGCCTGGAAGCTGTTCAAGGGAAGCTACACCCTCTTGCAAAGGCAAAGAAACCCCCAAAACAACAAGATCCCTTGAGAGCCTCTTGCTGCTGAAGAAACAAGGCTTGTGCATCAAAATTGTCAAAACCCCTTGTGGTGCTTTTTTTGGGGGGTCAGATAGTTAAGCAATTCTTCCTTCACCTGGGTCTACCGTTCGATCATTCGATCTGAAAACGAGCACGGATGCCTCGCGGGGGGGCTGCATGTCCAGTCCACACAGAGACGTCCCACTTGGGTTGGCTGCAACTCTGGGGATTCCACGAGTTGGGATGGTCAATTCCATCTAAGGTATACCATCTACAGGCAAACCACTAAGTTCCACCAACTTGTGTGGGTTCATGCTTTCTGCATGGAACTCTGCCCACCACAGCTTCCCGGAAGTCACAGCAAAAGCTTCGACCAATGAGAACGCAACATGAACAACTGGATCTTCTGGGATGTACCATGGATGTCGGTTGGGATATCGATCTTTGTAAAAGAAAACGACCGGGTCGATGGTACACTCACACATCACATGGAAGTGAAAAATGACCCTGGAAGACTGTCCTCTACAAACAGCGGGTTTTTTCACTTTCGTGTTAGTGAGTCAAAGTCAAAGTATATACCTTTAGAGCTCGTGGATCAGGAAACATTTGGAGGTGCCTCCAGTGTCCAAACTGGGACATCTGATTTTCAGAACCATTCCCCGAACGCGAACGCGACACAAGAGCCCATCTTCGTCGAGGAATCGAAATACCGAGAAAGGCGACGCCTGTGGCGTTCTGCTCAGGTAAAAGACCGCTGCCAACCAGGCGCGCTGCAGCCGCAGCTCCTCCCAGCGCGACACTCGAGGCTCGGAAGGAATGGAAGGATGCTGACGGACATAGGTGACCGACCTCTCCAAAGCATTGCAAGCTACAGAGATTGCAGAAGCTACAGAGACTGGAGATTCCCAAAGTTCCGGTGTTATCAAATCACATCAGCCACTGCAGGTATTTGGAGGTTCTGTAGGATGGAGTGTCCATCGAAGGTACCTTCTCCAGCCCTCCTGGGCAACACTACGTTCCTCTACCAAATGATGAAGTTCTATGTCGATGGTCTTCTATGTCAATTTCAGGCATGTCTGGTCTGAGAGGTACTCAGCAAGAAATCCCGCATCAAAGGATGTGGGCATTTCTCGACCAGGACAGGCAAGATGTGTCTTTTGCATTCGATTCCAATGACCTGGTCGTTTTAACCTATGCTTTGGGGCTCCGTGCGTTTGGAGCCCATTTCGATCTGCTTGGCGAGTCTCCCTACTCCAAGGCAAACCTGAATCACACCCAGTAATCTATTTGCTGATAAAGACTTGGTGATTTTAAGGGTGAACTGACTCATAGTTCTGTTGATCCTGTTTTGGAAATGGCTCGATACATTCCGAACCCTATGACTCGACCACTTTAAAAAGTAATGAGAACCTCCTTTGGCACATCAAAAAGGCACCCACTTGTTTGCTGGTCTCGAAGAAATCTCAAATCCTTGCCCGTTTGCCACCCCTAGCACCATGACACCTTGGACCCCTCAAAAGAATCCCTTGCACTGAACGAACTGGCGTTCATTCCACCCAGCCGAACATCCCCCAAAGAAAGACCACAGCAATCAGCTCACCCCAAAACTCCGCCATTGCATCCCCCTGATTCTCCACCCTCCCACCGCAAAGCATCAGCAGTGGCGCCTGGATCCTCGTGGCACAGTTGCTCCGAGGCCCAGCGCCGCCAGCCACGCAGGGCCATCGCCCGTGTACCGGGCGGCAGCAGGGGCCTGGCGGTGATGGTTCCGGCGTTCGCATGGAGCGGTGAAGGGAAAGAGACGTTGAAACCCTCAGCAACTGAGGAACTATAGTAACTACAGTCTACGTCTACATCTAGAAATCTACACTACTAGCACAATGAGCTTTCTGAAGACCATCCTTTTCAGGTAAGGAGTGGGTTTTCATTTTAGCGATTTAGCGAGCAGAAGAGTCTTTGGAACTCAGTAGATTCAGCAGAATGTACGGTGCCTCATCAATGGGCTCCCCTGCTTGTTCCCCAGTCTCTGAGGCCGTCATGTTCATCTGACCACGAAGTCGCAGATGCATCCAATTACACCGGCAAACCAAAACGGAATACAGGCACCCAGTCATTGAGAAGTAAGAACCCTTATAGCTATCGCTATCTGTGGGAAAAAATACAAACGTTGTCGAGGCTTACTTTCTTGAACCTTGCCATTCACATGGTTTCGAGGTTGCTCACGAGAGGTGGGTGCAAGCTACGTACCATGCGACGAATGCAGGGAATGCAGGTGGCTAGTCCCATGGCCACCCTATAGGCGGCCCTACACCCTGAGTGCCCTGATTGCCTACCCACAAGCACCAGCCAATCCAGGAAGCACCAGACTTGCATCATTCCCCCCCAGAAAAAGAAAAACACCAATCACCAACTGCGCAAAAGGACGGGCGTTTTTCGGTTTTCTGTCCCCAAAAGCTTAGCCTCCCAACCGATCTGCAGCTCTGGGGCCGCCCTCGTCGGTGCCGCCCGAGTGACAACAGGTCGCCGCCCGGGACATCGGTGTACAGCCATGCGTTCAGCGCGGCATGCAAAGGAAGCGCCTCCTGGTGGGCTCAACAGACCTCCGACATACTGTGTACTAGAGATACAAGAGAAAAAGAATGAAAAAGAACTTCTAGTAATTTAAACCAGGCTCATTTCTTGGAAGAGCTTCATATTTGGGGATGCAAGGTGTGAAAAACAAGCATGACAGCAACCACAACCGGAAATCTAAGCAAGAAACGAGAGCTCTACAGCAACCAAAAGACTCTTGACCCATGCTGTGCAGCTTACCACTCATCAATGGACCACCAGCCTGTTGAGCTGGAAAGAACATGCCAAGTGACCCTTCAAAAAAAAAATTTGAACCGAACAAAATCGATTGAACAGGCTGTTTGAGGATTCTCAACACCTATTGGATGCTACAGCTTGACATGTTCTGACTGAGAAAAAACGGCTCATTAGCTTAGAAAGCGGGGCGCCCTCTACCCTCCTCACAGACCTTCGCCATGGTGCCCCAATGCCGCAGCATCTGGACCGACTGCTGGGCAGCTAGACGGCCCAATTGAAAGAGGCCCTCTTGTAGGATCACCAGCCTTCCGAAGGGGGTCGGAAGGCAAAGCTCTGTCAGCCCCTGCGTTTTTTTGAAGCAAAAAAGCGAGCGATTCGGGACCCGGACGGTATAGAGTAATTAAGGGGTTGTCGTGACATGGAAAACTCGCACCGAAACCGAGTGGAGTGGAGCCCATTTTGAAGTGGAGTGGATCCCGCTGCCGACTGGAGAGTTCCTCTTTTTCATCTTTCCGATGGATAATGGGACAAACAAGAGAGGCAAAAGCTGGTATGAAGAGTCCATTCTCCACCGGAGGATAAAGCGCTTCTTCAGGCTCCGGTATTTCGTGCAAACATCACCAAATGTTAAAAAAAAGGAGGACATGACATTAAGAGTCGTCCCCAATCCGCGAAGAGCTCATTTTTAAGTCTCACCTCCCCCGCAGCCCAGGCACAAGCCGAATAATGGCCACCCTGAACTCAGCACGGCCTGCACAGTGTTGAACGTAGCTGAGGCAACTATGCGGATGGAAGTAAAACCTCCAGCACCTACTGAAATATGTAATATGTACAGTATATGAATGTTAATCCCCTCCATTCCTGAATAGATTTCAACTCATCCCCATGTCCTTGGGCTTTCGCGCTTGCAGAGGCTAAAATCCACCTGATGGGCCAACCTTACCGCAACACCATCGAGCGAAGCCAAGGCCTGGCTTTATCACTTGTATGGCCCAAAAGTCAAGCGAACCCTCCAGATCCATTGTTCAACAACTCATTCTGACAACACAAACTGATGCCTGTGATGTCTGTGATGCTACTTGCAAAACATGGCATCACGTGCACCCACATTTATGGCAAAACAGAAATCTGCAGCTGATCAACAAACTAACACCTTGTGTGCAGGATTTTTCTCCAAGCCATCCCTGCCCACCTCAAAGGAGGGTATCCGAACCTGACACGATCTTGGTGCGAACATACTCTTGTTCCTCTCTTGCTGTGGGAAGTGTGGCCCTCACCAAAGATCAACCCTCTCTCGGACCAGTTCAGGCCAAAGGATTTCGACGGGGTTCCCTTGTATTTTGGTGGTTGTGTGTGTATATACATATTATGTAAGTAATGCATATATTTATTTTTTATCTATCTATATATATATATTGATTCATTCATTTATAGTATTTATGTATTTATGTATGTAGTTAGTTATTTATGTATTTATATATTTATTCATATATATATATATTGGAATGCGGTTCTTGGTCTTAAGTGCCTCTTCCAGTTGGCCGCCAGTTCGCCAGACTTGGTTTCACCACCGACAGCTGAAAGAATCTGTCTAGCGAGAAAAATATATCCCGGGGGAATGATGTTCGTATTTAGCTGGTTGAAGTAAGAACGGGCTTCGTGCGTGCGGCGTGCTTGTGAAGATTGAACTGCAAGCTTTTTAGCAATGTTCACAAGCAAGCCTGCATACACTTGAGCCATAGCTGGCTAACCTGCTGAGCATCATTTATGTTCCATGCAAAGGGTAAGCTGAGTAGATACGTTGGATGGGGATTCAGTCCAAAGCAGCCTGACTGGTACCTTGCGCCATCTATGTTCGAAAGGTGTTTGTTTGTTTATTTGAGATAAACAATAAACATGTTCACCTCTTGCGAGCATACCTGCTGCCTGGTGTCCACCAAAGCTTCCTGAGTCTCCCAAAGAACAGCGCCCTGACGTGTCACAACACCGGGATCTTGTTCAATTTACTGTGCAAAGCCTCTCCTAGATCCATACCCGGTTCAAGCAACTATGTACGGCTATATACTAGCAAAACATCAACTGCATACTACACGCTGGAAGACTCGTTTTCCAATCCATTCCCTCAAGAAAAACTTCCTGTCGCAAAGGTCATGGCTCTCAGAGCAAAGGACTGGCGCATTGACTGATGGTACTGTTCTTTCGCACATGACCCCCCCATGACGGCGGATCGTCATCCCTCGAAATGGAGTATGGATCTCTTGTCTGGACTCCTGTCACTGTGATGCTGGATTTGACATGCAAGCGCATTGAAGGACTTCATGGATATCAAGTCATACCTCTTGACATAGGCCTCCATCGGTTTCATAATTTCCTGACGGGTGCAACCATGCTTTGATTTGGCAATGAGTCTTTCATTCCACAAGATCTGTTGTATACGCGCTACCAGCGCATCACCATCTTCCTCGCAGATTTGCCACTGACCGGGACATGCTGGAGACATGACTGCGGCTCGAAGCTTCTCTTTCACATCCTGACTACGGTCTGAAGGATCCGGCAGCAGCTCCAACTGCCTCAAAGATTTCTTGTTGTGCGTTGCATTTGCAAAAATGAACAAAGCCTCGTATTCATCAACCTTCAGATCATCATCCAGATACCCAAGAGTCTTCAGCAAGCGCAGTGTCAAATCTTTGGAATCTTTCAGCATCATTGGGCCACCACCCTTGAATACAGATCTGGCTGTGCGGCTCCCGTAAGTCTGGAATTTGCACTTGCTGTTCCCTCCAAGTGGAGAGATAGGGAGCACAAAGGCCAAGTCTCCACTGAATGGTGCCCAAGAGTGGGTTGTCTTTGAAGAGCGAGCAATGAGGTCATGTACCGCAAGTATTGGGATGAAACCCGGAAACACGGTGAGTTTGCCCAGGCTATTTGCAAACCAAAATTTGGAGCAGGCTGGCACAAGCGACAGTTGATCCTGGCCATATCCTAAGTCTGCTAAAAAGCCACGAACCATCTCCACCTGCGGAGCATCTCCTCCACCAGCAGCCGGCCAAAATGGATCCTCAAGCTGCACTGAGCCACTTCCATCGCCATGAAGGATAGCACGCACTCGCGAGCCAGGATCTTTGCGAAGGGTCTCCAGCTTCACCACCTCTAATCCTTGAGTAGTGTACTTGTGAATCACACCTGGCTTGTCCTCTGGAATGAAAATGATGAAGTTGGTGGCCTTGAGTTTGAGGATAGTGCTGATGAAACCTGCGTCTGATGTTAATAGCGCAATGCGGTCTACAACGCTGCTAGTTGAAATCACGTGCATTGCTGATGAAATTGCTGCATCATTGGGTTCTTCTTACGAGCTGTCTGAACGCAAAACTGGGACGAAGCTGACATCAGGCTCTGACAGAAGTCGGCCCCACTTCTTGTTTCCAGCTCTTGCAGGTGGAGCGAAAAGCTTTGCCTCAACTTTGCCACCCATAGCCACCCGACCTTTCAACTGATTCATCGCTTTTTGTATCTCTTCGATACTGTGCGCATCTGCATCGACCAAAAGCACTGTTCTTTCTGAACTTCTAGCCCTCCTGCACCTCGGGAGCAAGCTCACGTCGAATTTGCTCAACTTGGACCCCAGGATGTCAAGCGTTGTCCTTTCGCAAAACAGCTTGGCCTTCAGTCTGGCAAGCATGGCGGCACAGTTCCAACAGAGGATCCTTTCTAGTCCGGTCTGCTATGCGGTGCACCCTATGAGCCAAACAAATCGCTATGTGGATGATCTTCTCACTTGGTCGGAGATTGTAATAACTGGAGTTGGTTGGCCCACCTGCAACCATTCTATGAAACCAATGGGTGTTGGTCCTCCCAGAAACCAACTAACCGAACCGGAAACCACTGCTTCATTGCACAATCTTCTGCCAGATTCCGACATTCGACACCGACGCGACCGGCGCCTGCAAGACTCCCAGCGTCTTCAGCAAGGAGCTGGTACTCAGTGCCGGGAGGAGCGTCCAAATCCGGTTCTTTTAAGGGGGAGCACGAAAATTTTGAGTGAGGGAACCAAAGAGATCGTGTCGGTCCTTAGGGGTAGGGACGTCAAAACACCCAGGTCTACTTGGGGCAGAGTGACTGGAACTTCCAAGATCAAGGCATGCCACAACTCCCCTTGATTGGAATTCTGAACACGTCCGAGATATTGAGCTTCAACAATGATGCAACTTCACAAGAAATCAGGCCATACGCACAGGCACATCCATCAAAGCCTGAAAGTTCATAACGAGGTGCTCGATGATGTTATCGTCTGGCTTCATGCTCTCCCGGATCATCCCCGTGTTGACCTTGAAGAAAAGCAAATGTCACCCAGTGAATAAAGCTCTCCGGTGAACGCTTTTGGGCCCAGACAACAATGATGTCCAGCAGCATGAAGAAAATCTCACCTGCCCGTTCAGCCCGGGATTGATAATGTTTTGTTTTTTGCTGGAGCTGATTGAATGGTTTTTGGGTGGGATCTGGTGCCAAATGAACGAAATTCTCTGCTCAAGTGGCAGAATCCACTGACTCGTCACACACTCCAACATCTCAGGGGGCCGATCTCGCAAACCGCGAAAGTACCTCGACCTCAGCCGCCTGAGGCTCAACTCAGAACGGAGAACCATCCCGCCCCCCACATCCCCCTGCCCCCCCTGCCCCTGCCCCGATGTGGTTTTCCAACCAGGACAGGGCAGGTGCCGGTGCCGCGGGTGCCTGCAGGACAGGGCTGCCCCGCTTCAATCAAAGCGTCGTTGGAAAGCCCGCTTTCTCGAGACTGCCACACCTGGGTTCGGACCGCAGGACCGGTCACGGCTCCGACGGCTAAGGCTGCAGGCCGCCCCTCCTGAAGAGGAGCTGGTGGAAAGACACCCCAGTCCCGAAAAACGGTTGGGAATTGGAGCCTGGGAATTATTGAATCCTTATTGAATCCTTATTGAACAAAGAAGTCCATTAAATGTTGGATTCTTGTGTGTAGGCAGGCTTTGCTTGGAAGTCTTCAGCCATGGCCCCTTACCTGCACCTCCGCTCTTTATGCATAAACTTCTCATGAGCATCCAGTCGAGAGCTGGAGAGATGTTCGCCCTCAAAAATCCCAGACAACTCGATCGCCTGAGTTCTAGACCCTTGGCTTCGAGAATTCGACCAAACCGCTGAAATTCCTTCTTTCATCCATGTGTTCACTGCAAAGGATGTACCATTGTACCAGGGATGACACTTCTTTTA